GAACTTATTGGAAACTCAAGACAGCCATAACATGATGATTTTTTACAAGTGTATGTACACTTTTGACCACAACTGTATATAGAAAATGATTTACCCAAGCAAATCTTCTCTAGTTTAGGCTTTTGAAAACTTTAGGCTTTCTAAATAGAATTTACTATATCAGAAAGTCAGCAAAATTGCTGAAATGTTTCCCAGTTGCCATAATCAACTGTTTTTTGTTTTTTTTTTAGCATTTCCATGTCAGCATTTAGGAGGTAATTAGCTAAATAATGAGGGACACCATAGTGTGTGCAATTCACACAAAGAAATTTGTAAACAGAGCTTGTAAATTTGTGAGTGTAAAACATTTTAGACCCAACATGGAGTAAAGAATAATTAATACACACTTTCTGCCAACATGTCTGACTAGATGGATTTAGGAAAAAGGTTTTACACTCATTTCCAACTGGTTTGACAATGTCACAATGTCGCAACCTTGACATTATTAGTTAAAAGTATAATAAATCTGTAAAAATATCATTATTTTATTCAGCTCTTGTCCAATTGGACATTTAATCCATGTCACCATATTCAACTTGATATTACAGGCTGTAGAAATTCTCATGCTTTCAGTTTTTCACAAAAGCTTGGCTTTTGTTCATCGTTCTGTTCCCATGAAATACAACTCAAGGCCTCGCTGAATTCAAGCTGAGATAATTCCTCTTTGAGTAAACTGCCAAATCATTTCATTATAAGAACTGGAAGGAAAATAGCTTTCTGTATTGCAGTGACTGTTACAGTGATCTGTCATTCCACCAAATAAAAAAAAAAAGAAAGAAATGGAAACATTTGTGTTGAAATCTTTTTATGACTTTACTGGCAAGACATGTTACTCAGCCTATGTCAGCAACAGAGGACAGAACTATCAATGTGAAATAGTGTGTACACCAATAGAGAGAAAAGTCAACTAAATAGTCAACAAAGTAAATAGTGATGAAGCAACCCATGTATTTAGGCTAATCTGGAATGTCTGAGAAAATATCCATAAAAATCGGATGGCTAATCTCCTGGAAAGAGATTATTAGTTTCAGTTAATTGGAAGTGACTATTACATCTTCATTATTTTTTTTTCCCACTCATTTAGGAAAGATACAGAAGGATGGGAGAAAGGAGTCATGCAAACCAATACTCAAAGTAGAGTACAAGACCTCAAGGAGCAGGTATGAGAATTAATTATTGATTAAAGTAACTCCTCATTAAACGTGTTGTGTTTCATTTGTTCTATCTTATTACTTCTGCTGTGAATTCAGTATTTTGAAACTGAATCCATGTGATGTGATCTACGTATGCATAATTGGATACAATGATTAGATAGTCATTTTTGGCTTCTGCTAACACAGACCATGCAAAGTTACTAAATATAAATTCTTCTTCTCCAACAGCGAGCCTTTTGTTATCTTCTCTGGTGGTCTTTCATACGACAAGGCGGGCCGGCGGCCTGCTTTAACCATCATGCATGGCAAGGCCATCACGGTTCTAGAAATGGACTATCCTATTGTGGAGTTCATGGTCCTCTGCGAAACTCCCTACAACAACGGTACAACTTTCCTTCAGCTCTGTTCAGATGTTTTAAAGCCATGATGACATCATTTGTTGGCATCCACAAGACGTTTGAAAATGTCAGAATAGAATCTTTATGAAGCTTCTACACATTAATTAGCCAACATCAGACATCTCAATACACTGTGGAAACAGGGTTACTATACTAAACATGTCGTGGGTCAAATGTGGATCAGTACCGTCCTGGATTGATTGATTCAGAAGTAAATGAAATTCAGTACGTTAGAGTTTCCAGGTATTCATCATCGGAGAATTTTCCGGAAGTAAATAAAACACATTCATATTTTCCGAATGATTTATGCTTTTGATGCAACATTTCTTTCTCTGCTTTCATAATGTTTGTAAGTACTTTAATGTTATCCTAAAAGTGATTAAGGAAGATGAATTGGATCTAAATGGTACCATTTGCCTTGCAGAAGTCCAGGACCCTTATGCGGTGGTGGTGCTGTTGGAGAAGGACTTGATTGTGGTGGATCTGACACAAAGCAAGTAGGTGCTTCCCAAACTGCAAAGACCTCCACCTCAAAACATTTTTTTTTTTGCAATATTCAACATGATAAAAGAAGAAAAGCATTAAAAATTTCACCTAAGGCTGAGCTTCAAAACATAAGAAAGCTCTTTAGCCCTCTCAGACTGATCAGTCAGTCCATCAATCTATCAAAAATGTGTTCAAGCAAATTTCTTACTTCAATGGAAACACTTTTGTATGAGAACTTTTCATGTTTTACGATAAGAATTGTTGTGAATGTGGCCTCAGATGTTCTAATCCAAATACCTTGCTTTCAGGGTGAAAACTCTACCACCTGGGTTAATTAACCTCTAAAGGGTGATGTGAAGATAAAAGCTGCTGATGAAAAATGTTAACAGATTATCACCTAAGCCCTCAGAGTACATTTGAATAGTAGATCAACACTTCAGTATAAATTAGTTTGCTCAGTAAATTAGATTTCATAATTACAGCAGTCAGATATAAATGTCTCCTGACGGTTGTAGTGGTAGCACAAACAGATTGTATTACACATTCTTATTGATCAGCAGGAAGTTCTGTTTAAGCTGACACACTGCTAATAGAAGTCTATTCAATAAGTAAATAAAGTTTTTTGCTGTGCTTTGCTGTGACGAACTTAATTTCTGAGTCATGTGTTTTAATATTTAGATTTTGTTGTAGACGTGTTAAAATTTACTGTTGACAAAATGGTTTGAGATCAGAGATCTTATTTTACTGACTTTGTAAAATACCAGTTTCTGTCCTCTGTAGTTTACAGTGCTTCATATTTTGTTTTCTCTTATTCTAATATCACATTATGACATTTAACATTCTTGTGTCTTTCAGCTTTCCTGTGTTTGAGAACCCATATCCCATGGATATCCATGAGTCTCCTGTTACCTGCACAGCTTATTTTGCAGATTGCCCACCAGACATTATCCCCATTCTCTACTCAATAGGAGCTAAAAACAAGAAGACTGGCTATAGCCACAAGGTGCAGAAGGTTTATTATCAAAATGCAACTTTAAGAAAGATCTCTGTTTTCTTTGTTGTTGTTTTAGCATAGTTGTTGTTAGATCTCTTTAGTATTTTATTTAAAGGCATTCAATGTACATTTTAAATTTTACTAGCAGCAGAGGTGACTTCACACTGGGTGTAAACACGGTGTTTAATATTTTTTTTAATTTTATTTTTGTAGATGTCAAATTTCTTTAGTCGTAAACACAAGTCTGAGTAAAATGTAGAGCATTTCCTTAACTCCATTTTCCATTTATTCAGACTTGGGAATTCAGACATGGGAATAATTGCCTGAGGAAATGTGATGGATTATCACCAAGCTCTGTTTAATTTTAACTCACTCACTTTTAAATTGAAGAGCGCAAATCTACATATTTTGTCAAATGAAAATTGGAGTATTTAATAAAAATATTATTGGGACCACCGTTGGTCAGCAGTGAAAATATGCAGATTTTATAATGATTTTATTTGTTTTAAGGAATGGCCAATTGGTGGCGGAACATGGACATTAGGCTCTCACACTTATCCAGAAATCATCATCACAGGGTAAGTTTGAAATACTGGAATGAGATTATAAAAAAAAAAACATGTATTTCTGGGATGTCTGGCAGCCTTTGTCAGCTATAAAATAAATCCAAAGGAGTAACTTTACACACCCGTGTTATAAGTAATGTCTGAATAGTATTGATTTAACACGTGTGAAGTGAGTCCATGCAAACCAAGCTCAGGAGAAAACGGCACTACCCACAATGCTTTTTACAGGACTGACAGACATGTTAACTTGTTAGGCTTGGACACAGGAGGGTGCCTGCTTCTGAGCGTCAGCCGAGTCGAGTCTCTGATGCCGATATGGAGATGCTTTCTGTGAAGAGCACAGTGTGAAAAATCTTAAAATCTCAGATCATAGCGACACTTGGCCTCAGAAAAACCTCAGAATTAAATTTTTATTTCTCATCCAACAGAATAAAAATAGCTGTGCTACAGATCTAAAGAGAGCAATTTACAAAAATATTGATGAATCATTAACTTAGGGAAGTTTGGTTAGTTCTGAAGCGGTAGCTGCTAAAGTGTCTTTAGGGGCGGCAATTTGTGGTGTTGAAATATAAAATGAGATTTTAAGATTTACATCTGTTGACAGATTTCTCAGTTGTTCAGAAAAATAACAGGTTTTTTTTTCCTTTTTGTTCAGACATGCTGATGGGTCAATAAAATTTTGGGATGCATCTGCATGTAAGTCCCTTCTCTAATAATCTTCCTGAAATATTGTTTAGAGATCATCTCAGGTTCTTTGTGACACACCACAATCCAATAAGCAATACGAGTTCCCCCAATGCGTCACTTCCATTTTGCCACAGGCTTAAAAAAGAGGACACCAAAGCAAATTAATAGCACTCTCATGATAGGGGAAGCTGCACAGCTAATTAGGCACATTGCCTAGAGTCATATCAAAGCTATTAGCAGAAACAGACATAAAATAGCATATGAAAATGGGGTCTTACCAAAGAGAAAAGAAATATTCAGTGTATTCCTGTTCTTCAAATTTGTTTCAAAAGTCACACTACAGATGTTGTACAAGCTGAAGACCTCCAAAGTGTTTGAGAAGCCAAAGCCAGGTGACGGCCGGGCTGCTGAGCTGGGGGAGGAAGACCCTTTTGCTGTTCAGATGGTTAGCTGGTGCCCTCATAGTCGCATCTTCTGTGTGGTCGGCATCTCGGCTCACATTATTCTGTATCGCTTCAGCAAATATGATGCCAACACTCAGATAGTGGTGAGTAGAACTAAGAATCTGAACAAGCATGATCGCAAACTGATTATCTGGTGCCCTGCATAAAAGTTAAGTCTGAAGCGCTGGAATCACCGGCTCTGTCGCAGTAGCTGCAGGTTTGTGGATTCATTCATCTTTCTGCACCACTGTCGTTTCTAGTCCTTAGAAGTGCGCTTGCAGTGTGAGCCGGAGGATATTATCACTCCATCTGAGAATGAAAACAATCCCTGCTTCTCAGAGCCAGGCTCCCACTCACCCCAACCCCACCACCAATACCCGGTTAGCCCTGGCAGCAGGACACCAGACGGTGCTAGAGACAGCATCCCCTGCCTCAAGTAAGAGCTCAGCTCACACACTGCAAACACAAAACATCAGGTAATTCCTGACTTGTGTATGAAAATACTTACTAAAAACAGACCAGTTAAAAATAAAGTGTATTTTTTTCAGTGTATTTTTTTTCAGCATGCAAGGACATAATTGAAGCTAGAAACAACAAAAGTTTTAATAGCAGATATAAACACCTAACTGTTGAGTGCAATTCCCTTCCTTCTTTCTGTGCTGGGTACCTAACCAACCTGCCTCTCTCCTTTGTATCTGTTTTAGAGTAAAGGACAAAATGGTCCGGGTCCCTCCTGGCTATCAGTCAGACTTGGTCATCCAGCTGCTGTGGGTGGATGGTGAACCGCCACAGCAAATCACCAGTCTGGACCTCAATTCTGCATATGGGCTGTAAGTTTGTCTGCCGGTCTATCTGTGCAACTGATATTTTGTGGATTTTGTGGACTGAGTAAATCTACTATCCACGGACAAATGGAGTCCTTGCAAGAAGTTTGTGTAGACTTGGCAATAGCTTGAATGTTATAATATTAGAAATTTGCTGGTTTGTTTGAACTCTTTGTTTGAGCAGAAAGGACATACAGTCTACAACATGAGTGATTTTAGAAGCAAGTGCCTAAGTTAGAATGTGTTTTGGATTGTTTCTTATTCAAAAGGGGTCAACGTGATGCATACTGATTAAAATATTTACTCCCACACTAAATGTTCAGATGAATGCCTTTTCAAGTTGCAGTGGACCAGTTAGTTTTTATTTGCATCACAAATATTTCTTCATCCATCCATCATTCTAGTAGAGAGACCCTCACATCCCTCTCCTTAGCCACTTGGGCCAGCTCCTCTGTGGGAATCCCAAGGTGTTCCCAGAGAGCAGTTCCTCCAGGATGTCCTGGGTTTTCTTGCAGATGACTGCAAGTTAGACTACATTAACATTTAAATACCTCTATAACTTGTTGTTTTTCCCATCCTATAGTTTTATTCTTATGATGGACGGCATGGTTTACTTTTCAGGGGCTGAAACAAAACAATTGTTTCTTAGTTTCGAATTCTGTCAAGAAGGGAACGTTTAGCTAAGGCTAAATCCTAAACCTAGAGTAAATGCAGTCTATTCCAAGCACACATGGTGTTGTGTATGCATAGTCCTGCCCATCTGTCTGGTTGTTTCTGTCCTTTCTTTGGGCCAGTTTCAGCACATAAAAGCAGGTTTTTATGTATTCTGGTTATATAAGGTTGTATGAGGTTCCAAAGGGCATAAAATAAACATTAACAGAAACGGCTAGCACATTTAAGCATTCAGGAACTGTTTGTTAAGCAATGACCTAGCAATGTTAATTATGCAGCACGCTGTTCTGACAGACATTGAAGATAAGTTTGGATATGAAAACTTATATGTACTTCTGCTGTCATTGATTAAGATAATGCAAGTGTCCTTAATTGTAAAAACAGGAGTTTATAAAATAATTTGCATCATTTTAAAAATTATATTAAAAAAAAACATATTTGGGAGCGTTGCTCTAATATAAAATAAAATAATGTGGATGTGTATATGCAGCAACTGCACACCTCTTTCCCGTTTCCTTTAAAGAATGCTTAATTGCTTTTCTTTGAAAAGAACCTCTGCTATGAAAATCAGTAAAGTCACAGCTCGGTTTAAAAAGCCCAGTGAAGGCCATTGCATTTTTGTTTGAATTTCTCATTTGAAGCTTTCCATAATTTAAAATAGCTGCCAGAGATTTATTTATTTTGTCGTCTTTAGCTGGCTTTTTCCATGAATGCAAACTCTCCTTCTTAGACGTACACAAAAAAAGAGTATATCTTTAGCTTTCTAGATTAAATATTTTTAGCTTTGTGTTAATTGAAGTAGTGAAAGACTAAATATAATTTACTTGACTTCCAAAAACAAATTAGTTTCTTTGTTGTAGACAATTGTTTTATAAATGAAAGAAGCTTTAAACAGTATTGATGATATTAGTCCTGTTTTTGTGGGACTGCTTGCTTCTTCTGTAAACTTCTTTTTATATTGTTTGACATTCCTGTTATTCCTTTAAAAACCACCATATAACTTTATTCAGTTTATTTATACAGCACAGAGTCAAAAAATGTCTTAAAGCATTTTACAGGGGAAAAAGTGTACTTGAGTCATCAACTGATGAGCAGTATTTTCTTTGTGGAACAATTAAAGATTGAGTGAAACCCAGAAGCACTGGGCCATCAGTACTGTCTACAGAAGGCAAAGAAAAGAAATGAACAAATGTGACGGCAATAATAACTGCAGTTAATGCCTTAAAGAGGAGCACACAGTAACACTGTAAAAAAATGGTTAATGAGTCCTCCAATAGCCTAAAGTTATAGCAGGATAACTAAGAAGATACCACAGGGAAACCTAAGCCAAACTAACTGATTTATTTATTTTTTTTTAAGTTTGAAGCCTACTTTTAAAAGTGTGCCTGACAAAAAAAAAATTTCCACAAGGGACAAGCCTAAAAACTGAAAGGTTCCTACTTAAAATACATGGGTTTTGAGTCCCATAAACTTGTGAATGGATACGAGCAAGAATTATTTTTATTTTATTTATTTTTTACCTTTTCAAAAGTATTATGTGTCCCTACTATAGAAAAATGAAAAACATTGTCTCATCCTGCATGTACAAGGACAAAGTTCGGCTATCGAGTTTCTCCTGCTCAGTCATGCCTGACGCTCCAGAGTCGGGGCGCAACAGGTGGCTGTGAATCTTCTGGGAAATCGGGCATTAATACTGAAATCACAGCAGCGCCAGCGGTGTGCGATAAAGACGGGCTTTTGTTGTCAGTAATTGCATCAAAATGTCACAGATAATTTCCCAGTGTTTGGAAGTCCTCCATGTTCCACCTTTTGTCAGTGAGAGAAACCTTGTCAAATAGGCTAAAGCATGAATATGTTTTTGATTTTGTGGTTCCTTTGTGTGTTTGTGCATCCAGATTGGCGTTTGGGAACTGTAACGGTCTTGCAGTGGTTGACTACTTACAAAAAACTGTTATATTGTGCATTTCGACACTGGATCTATACGGAGCCACCGATCCCTATCAGCGCCTTACTCGTTCCCCCCGTAGGAACAGGCAGTCCACCTCAGGTAGCACACACAAGCACATCTGTCTTGCTATGTAAACCTGCCCATTGATGCACTTACCAGGCACCTAAACAATTAACTGTCAACAAAGCGATCCAACACTCTGTCTTTCTGTCTCAATTTTCTGAGTTTCTGTCCTCTCTTTTTTTCTTCTATTGCTTTTACTCTTTTTTTTACATTTATCTAAATTGTTTCTGTTAACATTTAAAATGCTTGAAGGTGCTAGCATGCAAAGCTAACTCATTTTAGATTAATATTTTGAAATACTTTAGCTCAGTGCTTTGTTTTATTCCCAGTAAATTTCACAGCTCATTTGACTAAGCTCTAGTGATGAAAGCAGAAATGTGTAACCTCCTGTAACTAATCTATCCTAACCTAAACCTCTATGTTTTCTCACTTTTTCTTATATTTGTTACACAGTTCACATTTTATGAAGGATATTAACATCAGGCATTTGTCGATAGCAAGTTCCTCTCCTATGCTAACTAAAATGAATAAAATCAATGCCATGTAGAATCATTTTCAATAAAAAATACTATTGAAAAGTTCATTTCAAATTACTAAGCAAAACACATTTTATAGATTATTTACACAGACTGATGTTTTCAAGCCTTTATTTCTGCTAATTATGATTTTTTTTTTTTTGCATCCAGCTAATAAGACATTTTATAGAAAAGAAGGTTAGGATATGACATCAGACTAATAAAAACATTAATACATGAAAGTGGGGATGATGAAAAGTGTTTAATACCGCCTTCAAGCTTATTTTCATCAGATGTTGTTAATCTGACAAAAAAAGATTCATTCAAAAGCTCATAATAATGCAGAAACCTAAAAGCCTTCACAGTACGCCCCAAAACACTTCTGCTTTGAATTATTTTACAATGGCATATTTCACAATTGATTAAAAAACGTCAAAACCAGTAGAAAATCCAATTCTTTTTGACATGAACAGCCTCTATCAAACAGCACTGCTCTTCTTTACCTCTTTCCTTCTTTCCTGTCACACACGGCAAACAAAAACACTTACCACATTGTTATGAGGTGCATGTTAACAAGTTATGTGTCATCTAACATTGACATTTAATATGCATGTTGTCATTTGGTCTCTCTGTTTGCTCTGTTTTAAGTCCTGCTTGAGCATAGATCTGTAGTCAAAAGCCACAGAGGTCTTTTTGTACTTCCTAACCCCCGCCTCCCTTTTCTCTGCTCCCTACGTCGGCTGGCGATGGCCTCTGAACCCAGTTATTCATACCTTAATGTGTTGTAGCAATTTTCAACATTCAGAACGTATTGTGAAGAATAAGTCCTGACCTTAAACTAGCCTTAGTTTCAAACTGTCCAGCAATTTAATATGTATCTAAGTAGAAACAAATAGTATGAGACAATGTGCATGTTGTTAGAAACTGAACTGAGGAGAGTAAAAAAAACAAAAAAAAAAACACAGAAAAGATTTGAAGTCTTAGGATCCAATTTTTTTCCCAATAGCTTTTTTCAAAGTCTTTAAATTGACTTTGGCAAAAATCTTTATGAATTGATTTAGAATTGAGAAAAAACATCCAGATTTTGGGTTCCACAGGTGCTTGTAGTGGATACAAAGGGTTTTCAGTTCTGAAGTCATTACAAAGTGAATGTCAACGGAATAAAAAAAATATATATTTCAAAATGTTAGTCACCATAATGACCAGCTGTTCCTGTAGCTCAACTGTCTTTATTAAAGTTACGTTCTGTCTTTCACAACACATTTTTAGCTGTTCCCACCACTCATATATATCTGTAAAATAGACTGTAAGCATAAATATTATGCAAATTGCAATTCTGATGCTTTGATCTGTTGTTTTACTGAGCCAAAAAGCTTTAATGCTTTTTGAGTTCTTTCAGTGTGATAACCTTGAGTATCAAAATGTAAAACATGCTCAAATTGCTTTCCTTTTAAATTTATAAAAATATGTTTTTCTCCTACTGCTAAAACAATGGAACTGTATAATTATTTTTACTGCTAAAAATAACTCTTTCATGTTGTTTTATACACACAGATTGAAACCAAAAATATAAACTTGTCATTCTTGTCTTTATAGAATAATACTTGGAGTACAAGCTAATATTTGCTGGCTAATCAGTTGCAGGCTACAAGACAGTCAGCTGATTAAGAAACAGTTTGACTGAATTAAATTATTACTAAAATAAAAAGGGAAACAAAAGTATTCTGTAAAAGACTTATTGCTAGTTATCACAAATGCTTGATGGCAGTTTTGACAAAAGATGGCACAACTGTCATTGGTTATATAGTGCTTTTTCCCTAATAAATAAAAGTGTTAATTAAAAACCATGTTTTGTATTTACTCAGGTGAACTTTCTGATATCAAAAGTAGATAATATAATTAAATAAAGAATGTAAATGTCAAAAAAAAGCAAAAAACATCAAATACAGTTGGAAAGGAGAAAACACTTTCTTACTGCACTGTGTATTCAACAATAACAATCCCAAGGAATACACTTGGAAACCGTGCATCTAGTTTGAAATATTGCTTTTAAATTAAGTACTTTATGTTGCTACTTTATTAATTAACTGGAGTTACCTTGTCATTACTGAGGTAAAGTTTAGCCACAAAGTGCAATGTTTTTATTTACAAAGCAATTAGTTTCCGCAACAAGAGATTTATTTTATGTCTGGCTCTCAGTAATGATATCTCTCCTGCTAACACAGTGGTTTTTGAGCAAATTACCTATCAGCATCAGCATTTCTGGAGTTTGCCGGAGCCGCCGGTATATCTTGTCTGTCCTCCCCTGACACTAACTCAGTTGCTGCTTGCTCTCACTTTCTTTTTCACTCTAAGCCTGTGTGTTCTTCTCTCCCCCCCTCCTCCCTCCCTTCCCCCTCCCTGCCTTTCTCCCTAAAAATATGTTTTCTCCCTCTTGACATCACTCCTTTATCTTCTCTCCTTCTGCCATTTCTCACCCTACTCGCAATGCTATCACTCACTCGCTCTCTTCCCTCCCTCCTATCTCATGTCTTGTCTTGAATCTCTTCCCACATCTCTTCCTCCTCTCCCCTTCATCCCCTCTCCTCCTCCTCTGCCCCCTCCTCCTCCACCTATTGGTGACTCTGTGGCTGCTGATGTGGGCATGTGGGGCCTGCCTGACAGAGCATTGCATGCGCGGCCTGTCTAACTTTTATTCAGATTCAAAGAAAAGGATCCGTACATCCTATCAGAGTAAGTCGGGCCTTCCTACAGTAAAGGCTGGCGTGAAAGAACTCTGTGAATGTGTGTGAGTGGAGGGGGTTGGCTGGGTGGGTGAGTCTCTAATAGGTTTTTTGTGGAGAGGACAGACATAGGAACAGATTTGGACACATTCCAAAGCAACAAGTTGAAGAAATAGTCTAAAACCTATTTTTCAGCATAATAGCAAATCCGAAAGAAAATTGTGCCATGTGACTTTCAAAGGCATTCCTGGGCCTTGAATCTTTTGTGACATTATCGGCACAAACTTCAATGTGTTTTGTTGAGGGATTTATCTGATAGACCCGGACAAAACGGTGCATAATTGTGATCTCGAAAGAAAATGTAATTTGTGTTTCAGTAAAAATCTGAAAAGTGTGGTATGCATTTGTATTCGCCCCTAAGAACCATAGCTTGGAGAATCAGATTCTTGTAGCTTTTCACCTCCAGACACTGACCAGAATTTTTTCTGCCATGGTTTTTCAAAAATTCAATTCTTGTGTATTTCTTGTAGCTTTCGTTCGACACTGACTTTCTGTTTATCATCTCTAACACATAGGCCAGATATGAGTGCATAAGTTACTATATTGATTCCTCCAGAGCCCCAAGGAAGTCTCTTCTGCTTCTTTGAATAATAATATCCTTGCCTAGCCAATCAGTTTTGATGGACAAACATGTCTGTATAGGTCTTAAAGTTGTGCTTTTTCCTTTCCATTTTTAGAAAATTGACTTAACTTTGACAGAAGATTTCCAAAACTTTGAATATTGGTTTATAAGCCAATCACTGATTAGTTTACTTCTGGAATCTGCTGGTTGCACTTACTTTTATTTTGGGATGTCAGAGTAAAGGAGGCTCAGTGCAAATGCATGCCACATTTTAGATTTTTATGTCTGAAAATTTTTGGAAACGTTACACTTAAGCCCAAAATTATTCTCAAAAATGATACTCCTTAAAGTGTTTAAGTTAACCCATATGGTCAGTTTGACTAGAAGTCATATTATCTGGGAATCCTGCCAGAGTCTCCAGCTGACGCTGATCAAACCTAAGTAGTCATTAAGAAGAGTGTAAATCATTTTTGAAATGCCATTTTTAATAAGCTCTAAAGAAAAACTGAAATTGTTCTTTTCCAACTTTTGTTTTATTATCTTTTGAGAGATATCTGTTTAATTTAACATCAGGCTCCATGTTTTTGATTAAAGGAAAATAACTTTGGGCTTAATTGTGTGTTTTCATTCCACTTGACAAAGGTATGTTACTCTCTGTTGCTCTATCACATAAAATCCTAGTGAAATACATTGAGGGTTTTCGTTGCAACAAGCCAAATGGGAAACCTTTTAAGGAGTAGGAATCTTTGTGAAAGCCACTGCAGAGGACTACTTCAGTTTCAGTCATGTCTAAATTATGTTCTTTGCAGGAAAGAGAGAAAGAAAAAGTCTTGAGTTTAGTAAGAGCAAATTATAAATATTCTAGGCTTCAAGTGATGTATATTTTAACTACATTAAACTTTGAAACTTGAATTGTTCCTGCACTGGATTGAAATTTATGTGTATGATTTATTCTTTGTGGGATACAGTTTGACATGAATTCTTGATCAATCCAATAAAAATGTTTTACTGAAACCTTTCAGTCGAACTGTCTGTCAAGTCTTTAGACATTCACTGAGACAAAATTAGACGGTTTGTTAGAACTTTTGACTGAGTGGGAAATAATTTAATTATTGGAAATTTGTGACGACTCAGTGAGGCTTTTAATGAGCCCGCAGCGAATGCATATCACACAGCAAACATTGACAGTGAGATCAGGGTGTAGTTATGTGAGCAGATATGGTTTGTTTTGATTTTTTTTTTTTTTTGAAAGAGAAATGACTGCATTTTGACCTGTGCTTGCTGCATGCAATCAGATTTTGAATGGACTTGTGTTTGGTTTGTGTTTTGTTTGTTTGTCTAGGTCACTTTAAAGTGTGATTTGCACTACGTGCTATATAAACTAAATTAAGTCCACATTTACATCTCGGTGTAATTTTTTTGCGCCAAAAGTAGTTCCCTATTTTAATCAGGCTGTAGTGCAGGTCACACTGACAATCAGCAACTCTGATCCTTGTGGAGAAAATGTAGTGCCCGTTAACATAAAATTAAAGTTTCAACCAGCACTAAAAAAAAACTTGATTTTAATGTCATTTATTTATTGACAATAATTATATTCAATAAGTACTTTTATATTTATTGGCATCACTGATAAGGAGGTGTAGACCTATACACATTGGAAAATTTGTAGAAAAATTCAACTTTTAGACGAGGTAAAGTGTATTTGTATAGCATACTTCAGCAACAAGTCAATTCAATGTGCTTCAAGCTGATTTATTAAAAGGGGGGGAAAAATCCCACATTAAGAAATAATTGGTTTTAACAAAAGCACAGCAACATTATTGTCACCCTGCTGTTAAGGCTTAAGTGTTACCTCCTAGTGTCCTCTACTGTCCACTCCACTTCATGGCGTAATTCCATCACCCACCCACAGAGACCTCTCTGAGGACAGCCACATGCAGCATAATTTCAAGTATCATGTTGGATATGCGCACCAACAGGGACAATAATAGTCAGTGTCAGAGGGTAGAGACAAACACACAGCAGATAATAAAAACAAAGAATCAGATCATAGTCAGAAAAAACCCCAACAAATCTTGTTTTTACGAAATGCAGTGGGGAGAGAACAGCTGCTTTCACAGTGTGGAGCATTGATTTCTCAGAGGAAACAAGGATTCAGACACTGTATTCACATTCTGGTCCGAAATCACTTTGTTTTTTCTTGTAATTATTTTCTTGTTCTCTTCTGTGGAAACACTGAAACCAGTGCATTTTCAGCTCCTAAGGGATTGTATTGAAAGCTGTCCATCTCTGAGGGGAACGCCATTGTTTAGCTAAGTTTAAAATGGTCAAAATAGGATGGATGCTTGTCTGCAGTGACTTGTGTGCACAGGGACAAACAGGTTTGTCAAGCCCTTGATACTTTCTAGAACCCGTTTCCCCAGGTCAGTGCAAAGTCTTCTCCCCGTGAGATTTCACAAAGTTGGAGCACACAGAGTCCGATACTGACGTGTTTTCACCATTTCTCTAGATCATCAAAAATCCCTGGTCCTCTCTGATGCTTACTTCTGTCCACTTGATTCCATTGGTTTTCTTTGGGATTTAGGCTTAAGGACTCTGATGTCAGTTGAGGAAAGTTAGAATCTCTGTGTTGGTTTGGTCATATATTTTGAACAGTTATCTTGTTGAACGATTGAGTGACAGTCTTGCTCTTTTTTGCATGCCCCGGTGTTTCAGAGTTCATGAGGTGATGTGTTTAAACAGATGTTCCCAGGGTCTTTGGAAGAGATGCAGGCCCACAGCATCACAGCTTTCACACATATTCAACTTTTTTTTTCAGATGCAACCCACTTGGAGCATGTTCAGAATAGATTATAGAGTAAAGCATTATAGAGTTAAGCAAATGTTTTAAGGTGAGGATGGATTGGACATCATTCAGATAAATGGTTGCATTCAAATCACAAAGTAGACATTTCTATAGCATTTCTATCCCTACATCTACAGTAGAGGTGCCAATAAATAAGTATAAATATCTCTTTTAAAAGTTTTGTGTGGCTGATACAAATTTGCTTTTTTAATGATTCATCTGTATTAATAAAATGCTTACAGAAAGTTTTGACTGAATGTGTGTCTTCTCTTCCTCTTGGCTGTGATTGGCTGTGGCAGGCCTTACTGAACTCACTGACAACCAGCAGTCCATAGACATGGAAAGAAGCAAGTCGCCCACTTCAGGTAACCTACCCACACATGCCTACACACACACACACACACACACGCAACACAGCTGGACTTGCATCTACCTAGTTCTTGCTCAAAGTTTGCATCTGTTTCATTGCTGGCACTTTGAAACTATGCTGGGTTGCTGTTGACTTTTAACTTGTATTACAGCCCTCGGCCACCTCACCCATCACATGAGCATCTTCACTTGATGAGCGTGGCAGCTGTTTAAAATGGCAGCTCACGTTCTGTGGGATTAGCTGGAAGTCTTTGATTAAAAAGTCACAAAGGTGATGGAAGTGGAGTAGAATATCTGATGTGTTTTTCCACAACCGCAGCTGTTATTTTCTTTCATTTCTTTAATCCAGCAGAATTATGTTCCCACAAAGGTAAGAAAGCAAAAAAGTCCCCCAATCATCTTTTCATCCTCTTTCTATGTGCATCTTTGACTTGTCATCTGAAGTTGATAGAGCATCTAGCAGCTGTGGTTATAATCACGTTTTTGAAGTTGGGCTGGTAAGGTCTCAGTTTATATAACCCTCTTTTTTCTTTGAGCTGTTTTAGTCCTATTTATACTGTATCATTTAAAAGCTCTTCTGATCTCCTGTCTATTAAGTGTTTACTGGCGTCTGAGAGGGAGCTGCTTGTTTTAGATTATACAGGATCTATGATGAAAGAGGTTTGCCTTCTGAAAGGTGTAATTGTGTAACGATCCATATATCCCAGCAGTCTGTGTATGCATACAGGTGATGTTCTATTCATTATCTTGTCTCTTTCATTAGAAACATGACACCGTACAGAAAAGCAGGGTCAAACCACTGACGTGGGCTACTGAATGTTTTTGCGGTATGGATGTTTGATTAAAGTACTCGGTGGCTTGATTGCAGTTTGTTGAGTTTTTGCATGTTGGAGAGAAAAAAGGGGGTGCATTGTGGAGGTGCTTTTGTGTTAGTCATAACGAGACATTTTACTTCGGGACTTAAAGGTCAGAATGGTTTTGTCAGTGGATGTGACTGTGGTAAAGAGACTAACAGGCTTGCTCATTTTGTTAAAACAGGACTTTCTTAACTTTAAATATTTGACCTGCCTTAACATTATGACCACTGATAGATAAATGAACACTATGGGTAACAGAAAACAAGATTCTGTGACTTAAAAGTATCAGACTTTGATACTTAGAAACATATTTATTGCTTTTCTTAGTTTCAAGTAATTGTTGTCAAACACAGGCAAAATGATGAGGAATATGAAGAAAATGCCTGATTGTAGGTGTCATTGAGGATGGAATTGTATAAAATGGACTGATCAGCAGGGATGAGAATGAATATTAGGAAATATAATACAGAGTAATGTGATGCCACCCAATAAAGTGGTGTGTCATCAAAAAAATCTATTTTTGAGAGCCTGTTTCAGCAATGATGCTGCTTCTATAATCTCTGTCAGTGAGAAATCCTTTCTAATATTTGCCTTGATGGCCAATTTATTCCAGTCTGATTCTTCTTTTTGATGAGACAAGGAACAATTTAAGAATCTTTTCACATCTCAGGAAATTGCACTCAATTTCTGAGACCTTTCAACAGATAGTGGTTAATTTAAAACTTTGGCTGTCTGTGAGGTTATGTCCAGCAATTTCTTGGGAACCGCTAAGGAGAGTTGAGGATGTTTTGGACTGAAAATGTTACATCAACGAAATAAGAGAGAGTTGCAGTAAAATCTAGTTTGTTCTCCCAGATACAGGTTCGCCAAGGCGGACCTCTGTGTGACAGGATTGAGTCATTGTTTATCAAACATGTGAATGTGGATAACTTAAAGGTATCGTTATGTGTAGGTTGTCGATATATTTCACTTTGCAGAGAAATTAGACTTTTGGGAATTGTGCCATGATGGGAACCTTTTATTTCATTCTGAAAAAGCGTAGTGTTTTGACGACCAGCCATCAGGACCACAGCTGCTGCCCTCCTGCCCAGCTGCCAACACCTCATCTTTGCACCTGTCCAAACAGGTGATGACCCTGCTTGGCTTTGAGGCATGTTGTTTTGTTAGATTCTATCCTGACAGACCCCCACGGATCTGGGCCTTTAAATCACTTTAAAAGGGGCCACTCACCTGACACAATTTTCAGCGTCAAAACCTCAGCTTTTCTTCCCTCCTCTGTCCTCAGAAAGCCAAGGGCACAGAAATGCTTCCTTGATAAGAATCTCCCAGTTATCTCTGCAAGACCTCTTTTTGGTAGTGCTCTGTTTTGGGGGGCAAGTGTGCTGTATAGTTCTAGCTTATCTGATGTTGTGGCCGGTTCCAAAATGGCAGACCCTGAGGGCTTACCCAGAAAGAACGAGCTGGCATCAACTCTGGCAGCTGTGGCTTGAGTGTTCAACTGGTCACCCACCAATTGGAAGGTTGTTGGCTCAGTAAGGCCCGTTAAATTGTCCTTCATGCTTCAAAGTGTCTTCTGGCAAGACACTGAGCCCTGCATTACCCTAATGTGCTCATCAGCATGTACGTGTGTGTATAATAAATAACAGTGCTGCATGTGGAGAATAACAATAAGAATATGAAGCAGTGTGTTACAGGTTTACTGGGAAACGAACAGTAGTAGCACGTTGACAGTCATTAAAAAGGAAAACATTTGCCAATTGAAAAGGTTGGCAGTTTGATCTCAGTCGGCCCACTCCACGTCTCAGGGTGTCCAACTGGAACGAAGAAACTGGAATCTCTTGATTAGGGTATAATGCATAAATTAGACTATGAAATGTCTGCCCTTTCAGTTGTCTAGCAGATCAGAAGTGGATAGGGAGAAACTTCTCTGTCAATTGACGGGTTGGTGGTCTTCTCAGTCTTCCCACTCCATGTACTGAGGTGTCCTTGGGCTAAGCTCCTAATCTGTTGGTTTGTGTGAAGTAGCAGGAGAAATCTCAGCGTCTGTTCTTCAATTTTCTAAAAAGGTTTTTTCCCAATTTTCAAATGTATGCTGTTTTTGTGTTTCGACATGTTTAAGTGGCTCGGATCATCAAACAAATTTCTGTCAATAATAACTGTAAATTGATTAGATTTATCTGAAAATCTAATTGCCACCCGAACCGGTTAAAGAAGTGCTATGGTGCATTTGAGGTAACTTGCAAATTTGAACTTTCTATGGAAGAATTTTGGCCCTTTTTTCTTTGACTGAGCCACATTGGAGTTGTTTTTAATGACAAACAGGCTGCTTAAGGTCTTTCAACCTTAAGCAGCCTGTTTTCACATGTGTACTCATCAGCCTTGCCTTCTGTTGAGACCACAAGGACAAAATAACGTGTCTAGGACAAGATGTTCTTTTCTTTTGTGATACCACGTCTTTCACAGCTGTCTCGTCGTCTAGGTCACGGACATTCACTGTAACAACAGGCTTGTCATTGGTTAATGAAAAGAAGACATGATGTATGTATAGATGGATGAAAAGCACAGGTATATGTATGTAGGACATGACACTGCGTGAACATCTCTGATTCACATTTTGTCGATAGGAGAACATACGCATAAAGCAGATAAAGACCATTTTATAGCATTAGAATTACAGGATGAAAATTAATATGATCACCTTAAGAATTATTTCCCCTGCATCTCAATACCTGTTGCAAATTAATTGGAGAATGATAAAAAAAAAAACACACAGAAACGTGTTATTGTTCCAGTGATATTAGACGGCACAGCTGTGCTCTGCTTGGCAGACTGAGAGTTCACGGCCTGTTTTCTCTGGATGAATACACACTGCCACTCTTCTTGGTGGCTATTAGATGCTACTTCTCTGCCCCTGGCAAACCAGGTTTGCTGTGTCTGCTCAAAGCCGTACACACCCTCAGACAGCTTATTAGGCAAGTCAGCAATTGTCCTTATTCACCCCATGTGTCGGTAACTCCAAGCGTAGTTGTAGATTTCTTCTTAACAAATCTTCATCTCTCTGTTCTGACATTTTTCTTATCTTTCTGTTGCCATAAGATGCAGTAATTGGCATGTCCGCTGACTGCATATTGTCTCCCTCCACACCTTGTACATTATGCCTCTTCTTACTTCCAGGGGTCAGTGGTTTTGGAGTTATGTGTTACCTTTTTTCTTGTGAATTTCAAGCCACAAGTACCCATTGTAGGGTTTATAGCCGACCCTCAGTCAGTCTAATAAGGTGGGACGTGGCTGATGGGAACTGGACCTAGAAGGATAAATTCAGCAGAAGTCCTTCAAACCTGAAACTTCCATGCAATTTGTTGTGAGAAACCTCAGACCACTTAATAATAGAACAAAACAACTATGCAGAATTATATCAAAGTAAGATATTTTGCTGAAACTCAACAATCCAAGGAAAAAATTTTCATTTTCCTCAAATATACACTGCTTCAAAGTTATAATAATTTTATTACCAAGAGAAAAACTTTGGAAAAGGATTAAAAAATAGAGTTTTGAGAAAATAAAGACTCTATCCATCAAGAATAAATCCCATTTTATCAACCGTTTCATGAGAATAAGTAAATATTTTACTCCACCTGTAAGTCAATCATTGTATATCAGGGCACTCAGCCCTCCCTCCCTGTCGCACTGACTCCATTTGAAGTGTGACAGTACACATAAATCAATGTCTCTATTTCCATAACAAAGATAAAAAATGCTAATTGAACATTTTTGTTTTCTTCTTTTAAACAGAAAATATATTTTAAGAGAAACATGGAGAGAAAAACACCATTATATTATAATATAACATAGTTATACCATCAATATGGTACAACTATATTGATGTTATACCATGTTGGTATAACATCAATATAGTATAACTATATTATATTAGTTAGATGCTTACTAATATAATCCCTGTCTATTGTGATGGATGGCAGAGACGGTTTGAATTTCTTCCTTCTCTCTCAGCATCCATGAAGCCTCCTGTTCAACTTCTTAGGGATTTGGGGTCAGAGGTCAGGCATTGTTTGAGCTTTCGAGATGCTAGCCAGCATCTCCCAGGTAGACAAAGCATACCTCGTTGCCATGGATACATATCGTAGTAGCTGTCCAAAAGTGGCACATCATCCAAAACCAGAGGGAATAATCGTCCAAACATACAACACCTGCACCAAAAATTTAACCAATGTCTGAAAAACAAAGCAGCACAAACATAACACAGCTGCTATCATGAGAGGCGCAAGTCATGTCAGTCCAGCCTTCATGCAAAATAAGTCAGTCCAGAGTAAACCGGCTTCTCTGAATGTGAAAATACAAAACAAATAGACAATGAGACATTGACATAACATCTTTGTATGGCATGTTTTGAATTCTGTGTAGTAGTTTCTGGTTGGATCCTGGTCTAAAATTAATGATATAACATACTAAAAATATGCAATAAATACACTGTCTTGGTATAATCAATGACCTATTAGTTTTCCTTAGAGTACCATTACTGAGATGGTTGTACGCAAATACATTGCATTACTGAATCTCTAAAAAATTACCTGAAATGATCTTTGAATGCCACAGCATTAGGAACAAAACATTAATATACAAAGAAGAAACATGATTGACTATAAGGTAAATATTACATTGTCTAGTTGTAAAATGGGGTTATATGGTTTGTAATTTTTTTTCATGTTGGAATTTGCAAACATTAAGATAAGTATTTCTAAAAAAAAAAAATTCTCCTTTGACAAAATCTACATGTGATTTTGAATTTAATGTCTTACATTTTACTTTCAGTAGTTTTATATATGAATAAGTAATAATTACTATGGTTAATGTGACGCTTACTGTATCAGCTGTACAAATCTTTGTCATTGTTTCCACAGGATCCAGTTAGTTGTACTTTTTGCAGTCAAAATGACTTTAGATATCAGACTAACAAATATAAGTACAGCTGAGGGAAAGATGCATTGTTTATTAAATAACTTGGGCTAGAAACATGGCAATACTCGTTTGGTTTATTTTTAATGTTTGTGGATATAGCACTACGACGACTTAAAAATGTTTAAATATGTTTGTGCTATAGTTGGTTTATCACATAAAATATTTACATTAAGGTAGTGGTGTCATAAGTAGTTGTGGCTGGTGGTAGTTTTTGTTCTACTTGTGGTAGTATTGATAGTCCTTTCATTGTTATGCTGGGAGCAAATCAAGACTGCTGAGAGGTCAGCTGTTGATGGAATAGAATATTTCCTAAATATCTCATTAACGCCTTTGTTTTTATACCTTCAGATATGATTCCTGTCTATTACCTGCAAAGTTTCTCTTCTCCCCAGTTCACCCAATGTGTTTGTCTCTCCCCTGATTCCCTCAAAAGTCTGTGTCTGTTCTGTTGGCTCTCCTGTTTCAGTTCATTACCCAACCTCCCTTCACAATGATCCACGCATCCTGCCAGAGCCTGTGGCCAGTCTGAGAGCCAGCCACTGCAGTCCAGTCTTTTACTTACTGGACAATGGTAAGATGAGGGATGACTCACGGATCTTGGCCTCTTCACGGACACCTGCTTGTGGTTTTTGTTCTGTGGCAAACATGTAATACGTGAGGAAGATGGGATCATTAGTTTTAGGATGGTGGTTGTTTCAGTGTTCACCTTGCATGCTTGCTATGCTTCAACACTGTGAGCAGCCCTACTAACAGGATAGCAGAAATCGAATTATTTCAATTACCTTTGACATAATTAAACACTATTAGAGGATGAAAAATGGAGAGAAAAAAATACAGTGAATCCCTTCAGAAGTACAGATTCCCCTTGAACTTTTGAACATTTGGCACTTTACATTCAAAACTGCAAAATATTTTATAGAATTTTGTATGATTATCAGCACAAAATAGCACATAATTATGAAGCAGAATAAAAAAAATGCATTTTTTCATTTCATTTGTTTACTAAAAGGAAAAACAAATAATGTAATGTGCATTTATATTCACTGCCTTGTTAGACCATTAATCAGAGAAGCAGCAAAGTGTCATGTGGTAGGTGTGTATGAGCTGCAGAGATCCACGGCTCTGGTGGAAGATAATTATTGTTAGTGGTGCCTTACAAAAAGAGGGTCTAATGAGAACAGAGAGGGGGATAGACATTACAGTCAGGTGAGTCAATCAATACAATGTTTGGGACCCAAAAGGAGCACAGCTCCCAGAACCGGTTCTCTGAAAAGAGCTGAACTTCCCTTCACTAATGTGAAAGGATGAGGACTAGTCAAATGACACAAAGATGTAACTTTATGACAAACATGACAAATGCCATGTCTGGCAGAAAACTAACACTACACTTGCATCGAAACAGACCTCCTCTCTCTTCCTAAATGCTGTAGTGGCAGAATAATAGTGTGGAGATGCAATTCTTTGGTGAGAACAAGAAAGCTTGTCAGAGTTAATATGTACAATTCTGCAAGAAAACCTTTTAGATGCACAAAAACATGAGACTGGGGCAAAGGTTCACATTTCCGTAGGAAAATGACCCCATACATACACCCGCATGGCTTGGACCTTATGGTAGTAAGGTCAGTAGAAACCATGACCTAAACCCAGTTAAGAATTTCCAGAAATATTTGAAAATTGATATTCACAGACACTCTTCATCCAGTATGACTAAGCTTTAGCTATATTTCAAAGAAGAATGGATGTGCAAAACTCTTGGAAATGTACCCAAAAAGATTTGCAGCTGTGATTGCAGCAACAAGGTTCTAAATGCAAATGCACAACACAATGTTAGCGTTTTACAGCACATTGTTTTATTGTATCACGTAAAGTACCATTAATATGAACATAGTTTGTGGTTGTAAGGTGACAAAATGAGAAAAAGTTTGGGGATTGCATTTCTTTGCAAAGCACTGTGAAACTTCTGACTTCTGCAGCACTCTAGTTATGGAAATACCACAGAGACATAGGGAACATTATGTAGGTTTTGAGATAAATCTATACTTTTTTATGATTCAGCAGGAAAAACTTAATCAGACCTTCCATAGCCATCATTGGTGACAACAGAACGACTCATGAACGAGCTTGCTTGCAGTGTAAACAAGCACAGTGTTGCTGGGAAGAAAGTGTGTCTGGCTGTTTTTTCAGTGTGCTCCATGCTTTGTGTGGATGATTGCTGGGCGGTGTCATTGTCTCCGCTGCTCCACATGCAGTGATGTTTGCCGTATGCACCAGCCCTGGGCTTTGACCTTGGATCCCTCCTCACTCTCCAATGCTGTGACGCAGGTGGGCTTAAGAAGAAGAGGAAGGGGTTGCATTCCAGTTGGATACTGCTCCTATGTGGCATTATTCAACGTGCCTCCTCTAGAGTCACTCATCTTTGCCACTGGAAGGCGACAAGCTCCTTTCCCGAGCCATAGTGCTCGGGGTCTTTGTCTGTGTGTCAATAAACTCACATACTTATCTTGTTGTCCTCTTGGCTAACATTCATCATCGCCTTGTCTTGTCTCTAACTAACTGCATGGAGCCCGCTGAGTGGCCAATTGCAGGGCTGATGAATATTAATACAGCTTGCTCTGTTTGTCAGTTTAGCAATGTGTGTTTTAGTCCCATGTATTAGCCTCATATGTGATGTCAGCATCCCATTTTATAGATTTAAGGTATGCAATTCAGAACAGTGATTATGAGTCTGTCGTTGAAGAATCAGGACAGGATAGGTGCAAATTATTATTATTCAGTTAAGACACAAAAAGTCTACTTTTTGTAGAGTAGACGTTTTTAAGAGCCACTGTATGTGGCTGTAAACTGATGGCTTGTCTGTGTGGAAAGATAAAATGTCGACTTTCGCCTAGTGCAAAAAAAGGAAGAAAAAACTGTTGAGCACTGCCAGAGCATTTTGGAGAACAGTTAAATGTTTATTTTTCGCCTTGAGCAAATGTTTTATATTTGTAGAGAGAAAGCAAGTAATAGCAGGGTCAGAAAAATAACTTTAAAGATGGTTTTTGCTGTAGGGCAACCAGTGGAAAATCATTTGTTGTGCAATTTCTTCACATAGAGATATGCAAATGAGTGAGAAAAGACGGCTGACATCACATTTGAAGCCTTTGCTCCAAAAACTGCTGTTGTGTTTAAAGTGACATGAAATCACCATGACATGGTGAACAATTTAACACAAAAATTACCATGCATTCCATACAACTGACATTCACTGAAAAAAATATTTGTTGTTTCTCTACTTCTCTAACCAATCATACACTGTGTCTCATAAAAAATATTCACCTTATTTGCTGTTAGTTGAGCTTTGTTGCATTTAATCATATCTAACTAAGAATCAGATTAAGTACGGAGTCCATTTAAGATCTGATTCACTAATTTTGTAGTGTTGTGTGAATTTAATCTTGCTCATGGCAAGAGTTGGGGTCTGATTGTGACACCAGTTACAGTAGATCCTCCAAACTTAAATCTGTTTTGTGTATTGATAACTAATTACTATGCCCACTGTTGTTAAGATGAAAGAACCACCTGAAAATTTCAATTAAGAAATTTGAGAGATGGAAGAAAAAGACTCTTTCAGTCCACATACATGCATAAGTAACATATTCAGGATCACACTTTTGGAATGTTTTTCTTCCCTAGCTTCTAGTAATGCTCCCTTCCCCTTAAAACTGTGATAAGTTCAAGTTGCAAGACAAAGAAAAGAAAATAAGGGGGCTGATATTTTGTGAAGCATTGCAAACTCAATGAATATACAATAATGAAACCTCATCATGATGCTACCACCACCATACCTTCTGGATCTCTTGTATTTGGTGCCATACCCCAAATCCAATATAGCTCAAAGCTGTTTTGCAAGAAAAACAATGCAAAAGAAACAGAGAAGGTGAATATTTTTGCGAGACACGATATGTTTAACATACATGCAATGTAAAGACACCGTCTTAAAAACTCACTGCAATCAATTAAAAGGCTTACTCTTAATTTTACACTGATTGGCCCCTTGGCTCATCAGATCAGCCCCACTTGTTTGTTCTGATTAACACGATTTCATGAGGTGTTGAGTGAAGGAGCAATTGCACAGTGAGAACTATCTGTGTGCAACAGGTTTAATATGAGAATAGTTTTTCTGTTATTGTATCTCTTATATTCAGTATTCCATATTGCTGCTGCAGCATCTGATCCTTAATATATATGAAAAACATAAGAGCTCGTCTGTTATCTCATTAGTAGCATTAATCTGAAGGTCTGCACTCAATGTTGGAAAAAATCCAATGAAGTGAGTCAGAAATAGACTCTTTAAATGATGCCCTCATACATTTCTAATTTATTCTGTATAATTAGAATTTTTTTTTTCCCAGTATTTTCCAGAAGATGATATCTTTGGAGTATCAGGTAACACTGAACTGGAGGTAAATCTTTGGACGAAAGCATCTTGAGAAAACTCCACCCACCATGCATAAACTGGAGTTTACTTTTGTCAAAATTTTAACACTAGTGTTTTTTTTTTGTATAATTTCTAGGCCCTGATAATCCTCCTATGCTGCACTCTTTGTTTCTTTGGCATTTAACAGCAGAAGGATTGAAACCTGAGTCCACTTCTTTTTCACAAAGAAATCTATCGGCTCCTTTGATTTTTTTTTTTATCTCTTTTTGCCCTCCTCCAATAATTTGAAAACAAAGATGAAATGAAAATAAACAGAAAAAATTTGAAATTCATGGTCATGCCATTTTTCTTCTGGTCATTAAAATTACCAGGCATCATATAAAAACCATTTTCTGTCTTCCACGTGTTAACTAAATCATTCAGAAGAAATAAGTAAATAATAATCAGTTTTCCTTGTTTATTTTTTCTTATTTTTGAGATGGAACTGACTTTTAGCACCTCAACTTCAACCTTTACAGTTCTCTACTTACTGTAAAATGCTTGCAAAATGTTTCACTGCGCTGTTTCAGTTGCCTTCAGTGTCTGACTGTGACTGTTGTATCGGCACCATGGGGTGTCATTCTGTTTATTTCTGCCTCCATGTGAGACATTCCAGGCCTCTGAAAATAAAAAGCACTAGATATGAATGTATTTTATTTTAAATACTCGAAATAAACTAAACAAATGGATGTTAAGTAATTCAATGTTGGGTGAAAGTGATCGTTTCACCCAACAGAGAGCGGTTTTCTACCACCACATCAGTCTTGGGTGTTACCAATATGCAGAACAATGTGAACAATGGCCTGGGAAAACCTTAGAGCATGCATCTTGCCTGCCTTATGCGACTGCACAAATCTGCATGCACTGGTTCCTTCTTCATTTGACTGAGTTATGTTTCATTAAGTTTTCTGTTTTTGTTTTTTTGTTTTGTTTGTTTTTTGGACTTTGTTTCTCATTATTTAACACAGATTACATCAGCTTTGTTTTCTTCTTATTTATTTAATTCCTTTATTTACTTATTTTTATTTGAAGGGATTAACCGGTTGTTTGTTTCCTATTCTTTTGTTTCAGTAAAGGGACCCGGCAGAAAGTTAAGTCTGCCCACAGATCTTAAGACTGATCTTGGTACGGTAGGCGAAAGCCAGCAGTTTTCACTTGATTTCCTTTAAGTTGTTTATTTTCTTTTTTTCTCAAAGATTTTAGGCTTTTCTGTTGCTTAAGAACTTATTTTTTTATTCTTCTCACTACTTTTTCCGTTTCTTTATGACTTTCTCTGTTTTTTTTTCAACCAGCCCATAAGACTGTTGGCCTGAGGTGTCTGTCTATTTTGGCCCTTTGACGTGTTTTGATTTCATTTGAATCTACTGTCTGTTTCTTCTACATTTTGCAAGTGTTTATAAAGGTGATTTTGTAACTCATACTCATATTCAAAGTTGAGACTTTCTATCGCTTTTACCATGATTGGACCATCTTCTGGTTTTCCTCAATCTTTCCTTCATCGACAACCGTTGCTTTTCAGTATTGGATCACTCGCTGCCCTTTCTCATTGTAACTGGATCATTTCTCTCTCAAACAGTTCTTCCTTCATTTTGACTGGATCACCTACATTACAGATACAACGCGTCCACCCCCGCATGCATCTCTAACTGCTACACATCATGATCTCGGATTTCCCTTGCTGTCCTTCTGCAGTATGACATGGGCTGTCCACACTGACAATTTCTGCTTTTCAACATAAAACGTGCCTGTCCCTACTTATTCTTTAACTGTCTTCATTACAAACTTTTTTTTAATGCAGGTACAGTAATATTATTTTCAGCAATGGTAAGAGTGAAACTTTTTATGCCAGAATAAAAAATGTTCAAACCGTTTTGTTTTTTTAGTAAAAAAAAATTACCGTCTTGTTGGTGTTTCTCCTTGACAACAAGTAGGAACTTTTTTCATGCATCACATTACAACCACACCATTTAATCTATTTCATTGGGATTTTATGGAACAGACAAACACAAAGTTGTAGATGAAGTGGAGGGAAAATGATGCATGGTTTTCATTTTTTTTACAAAGTAAGAAAAGTGTTAATAAAAAGCAAACAGTATTGTGCAAACAAAAAAAACAAAAAAACACAACAGATAGATGAAGGTTAACATTTGTGAGAAGTTAAAAACATTGTTAGGTTATAAAACATTAAACAGCCTTAAAGAGTAAAATGAAATATTTTGGCCTTCATGCAAAATGCAATGGTGGTGGAAAACTAATATATATATATATATATATATATATATATATATATATATATATATATATATATATATATATATATATATATATATATATATATATATATATGACTGTCAAAAACATTTCTGTAAACAGATTGGAGTAAGGGAATCCAAATCGGATACAATATTCAAGTTTTCATTTGCAAAAAATCTGAACATAATTTATCACTTTCATTGCACTGATCTGCTTGACCTTGTGTTGGTCTGTCATAAAAAAATCCTGGTAAAATGCATTAAAATTGTAGTTGAAGCAAGTCAAAATATGAAAAAGGTCAATAGGGTATACAATTTTTGTCGTCTTAAAGAAAAGGAGCAACTTTGTAGTTGGAAAAATTGATACCGTCTGTCAGATGGAACATTTTCTGATTTGTGTGGATGTGTGTAAATGTTTATTTTCAGTAGATTTGTGGATCAGTGTGCTCTGGATAAGGTAAAGATCATTTTGGTTAACTAAGGGTTTCAAACACAACATCTGGAGACAGGCTAGTGTTACTGCATCCCTGTTTGAAAACACACAGGCAGATAGACATGAATACTATCATGTGACTTCCCATTAGCCCCATTTTACATGCTGAGGAAAAGAACTCCCTGTACCACATTTGTCCATCCTGCTGTGAACCCATGTGAGTGTTGCACGTGGATTGGGTGGCACCCCAGAGTTTTTCATCTTCACTTTGAAATTGGATTATTTCTGCCAAAAGCACCTGAATGGGAAACTAGATCTGAAAAGGCAGACATATGAAAGAGACCAGAAAACAGGACACAGTGTGTACTGCTTTTAGCAATTAGCATAGTGCTGTTTGTCCTCAAGCTTCATAAAAGTCTGGACCAGAATATCGGAGAGAGAAGGAGAAAAGTAATAAAGGCAGGCAATTCCATCAGACATTCCCATCAACCCCAAATGCTTTTAACCTTGGTTTTATTATAAGGATGTCGTTTAAGAAGGGCATTGCTTTATTTATTTTTTCTCTGAGGAAAAGAGAGAACAGACACACAAAGGCACGGGTATCATGGGGCTGTTAATTATGATGATCCCGACAGGATCTGTGTCTGTTTAACACTGAACATCAGAATCCACCCAATCCAAACTGCCCTGCTTTCTTTTTTGTTGCCTCATTAATAGGGTTTAGTTCTAAACAAATTATTTTATTCTCCGATGCTCAGTCCCGTAGGCCCGCTCCATTAAATAAAGACAAAGCCAGCAACAAATGCGGTCCCTATGGGGAAAACATGCAAAGCCACGATTCCAGCGTGGAACAAGTGTTTTCATGTGAGCGCCATCTGTGACTCTGTATCCACTCCAACTAAAATAATTTGCACAGGAATAACAGAGCAGATATTAAAGGTTTATTATGAGCTTAGCTGGTAATGTCTTAAGGCTTGTGATTAGATGAAGAAATTAACAACTTCTGCTAAAAACAGAATTTGCCGACAGTGATAAAAACACAAAGTGGAGATGAAATATCCCTGTTTTTTGTGTGTTTTTATTTATTTTTTTAAATCTCTTTACTGGCACAGAGTCGAGGAAGCTGCACTTACAAATTTCACCCTGCATTTTCCTTTTCCTTTCTTTGGACACAGCATCTCTTTCTTCTCCTTGCACATACTTACCTTCAAACCTCTCTTCAGCCCTTCGCCACGCACTCACCCCCCTGTCCTTCACTGTCATTTTCCTACTTGACAATCAGGTTTTATTCTTCTTACACTGCAACATATCCATCTTCATTGGCCCTGGAGTGTACTTGCCTTTCCATTCTAGAAACAAAAAGACATATTCCCCAAACTGCTTCCTAATGGCAATTCAAAAAGGCCAATTGATGTTTTGATTTCGCTTCCTACTTTCAGACCTATAAAGATGGATGTTGCAGCTGTGGATTACAATATGTTGGACAAATTTATCATTTCCCTCCGTTCTATTGTTTGCTAATGCTTTGCCGTTGTTACAGATCATGTCAATGGACATTGCACTAGTCCCACCTCTCAGCCCTGCTCGGCGGGGAAGCCTCGCATTCCAATGGGTCCCGAAGGGCCACGGCTAACCCGCAGAGGCCCTGGCCGACCACCCTTCCGAAAGGCCCAGTCTGCTGCTTGCATGGAGATCTCTTTGCCTGTGTCCCACACTGAAGGTGTGTGCTTGTCTTCCCAACTCCCATCCTTAAAACCGTCATAACATAACCCACCCCTAACATTTCTAATGAGTTGCATGTTACCCTCTGTCCCTTTGGTAAGTGAACTGTGGCCTGATACATAGTTAACACAAGGCAAGCATGTGCTAATGCAAGATGGCACCCTGGTTTTTGTACTCCTCAAAAGGAGAGCACATGGTCTCATTATCAAATAAACAACAACTAATTATTTGCAGCAAAAAAGTAATGGTCAAGTCAAAAATGTGCTTAGGAAAGTTGGCTACCACTCTGATTGTACGCAGTATATTAGTTGTTCGGTTCCACTTCACACAAGAATAAGACAATAGCAAAAGGGACAAAAGCCTTAAAAACTGAGCTAAGACTGACGAGAATAACACACACACCTCCAAACTGTGCATATGGGCAGAGTCCTTGAACTGGAGTTTAATTTCAATACATTTTGTTCAAATAAAAAAAGTATATATTGATGACTCAAAGAGAACCAAAGGAATTGTACTATATAATAAGGATAATGAAGAACAAAAAGGAGGAGAAAAATTCCAAGCAGCAGTAAATGGGGTTTATAATGCAACACAATGGTGGCAATAGCAATAATAATTACAATAACCACAGCGTAGTAGGAAAGAGTGATCACTAGAAAAAAAAAAAAAACACTTCAAGTTTTGCATACATGATTTTTCTTTTCTAACTACATTTGTGGAAATATGCACACAGAGTTCTGCATCAGGTAAAACTTATTGGAAATAACAATAGCATAACAACGGTGATAGAGCACTGGTGATGTTTGCTCCTGCACAGTAAAGTTGGAACTGTTGATAAAAGCACAGGGACCTCATATAATAACACGGAGATTTAAACATAATAATCTAGTAAAGATATAGCATTAATAGAGATGGAATTAATAGAGTGGCCAGAAAAGTCACATAGAGAAATGCTTAAAACCCCCAAAAGAGTCATGTTACCTTAACACTGAAATGAGGTTTGAAGAGAATGAAATTGTCTCTTTTGACTGATGTTCTGCATTCAACAGAGCAGAGCAGTCTTAATCTGGTGTGCAGTGACTGGGAAAATATGTTCATCCATCAACTGAATTACTTGTTGTAATAATATGAGAAGCTTTTTTTTTTTTTGCAAGAAACTCTTTTTGAGCTATTAATTTGATTATGTGCAACAGGATTTCTGCACCTTGCATTAGCATCACCTCTCAACAATTTGACTGCAAGCTCGGCCTCTTTCAAATGCAAGAAACAACCCTTGCATTGTGTGCTTTTGAACTGTTGCTTGTGTCAACCATGTTCCAGGCCTCTAAGTTGTGCAATGTAAAGTGAATTTGCAAGATAAGTTATTTTTTTTCACATCTTTTTTTTTTCCTCTTCAAAATCCAAAATATCTTATGCTTGTTATCATAACTTTCAACTTACAGCATCACTGATGTGTTTTAAGGGATCTCAACGTACTTTTCCAGATAGGTTAGAGGTTGGTGATGTGATATTTTAATTCCCTTTCTTCACTCAGTTACAATTTCTACGTTAACGGAAAAATGGTGTAGCCACCATACCATGATGTATATTCTGTGTAAATATGTTTTTAGCGATATGACTGAAACAGAAACATGTTTTCGAGAGTGTAAATGGGTGTCTGAGTAATCATTGGTTCAAATATTTTATATACACTGCATTAAAAAAGTGTTCCAGCCCATGTCAACATTTAGTTAGATTGTAACCTCAAACTTCAATGGATTTTATGTGATAGAGCAGCAAAAAGTAGCACATAATTGTTTAAGTATAAATACAGATGTCTTGTAAAGTCATCTAAATTTAGAGAACATTGGGGATAACGTTGGGCACACATTTATAGCGTAGTTAGGCAGGAAGGAACATTCTGAGCTTCAAATATCTCACTGTGCCTTGCTAAATGACTCCAAACAGTTTTTGGCCTTTAAGCAAGGCTCCATGGTTGGTGAGAAATTTCCCTGAAAATAATTCTGATTACAGGGGTTGCTCATCTTCAGTAGGATCAGGAAAGATGGTTAGAGTTGCAGTAAGACGGGCTGAGCTAAATTTAGGGCAACCTTCCTAATGCATGTAAAAGGCCTGGAGTAGGATACAGGATTACTTTCTCACAGCATAATTACCTTAAATTTACAGTTATGGCTACAATGAAGCATATTTATGTAAGGATGAGAGAACCTTCTCTCTACATCCAGTCTGACTGAAACCACTTCTTTTTTTTTTTTCTATTTATTTTTATCTATGTACTGTTTTGTCTTGGTGAATCACAAAGCTCCAAACAAAACCTACTGAAGTTTTTACAGTTGTCTCAAAATTAAGACAGACACCATCAGATAATTGTCTTAGCAAAGTCTGTGTCTTCTGTTCAGTGTTGTTGTTCACCATGTAAAGGGAGACATGACTCAGTTTACATTCAAAAAATGTCCCTTTATCGCTTACTAAGCAAATGGCAGCAAAACCATGCGCTGTCAAATCCAAGATGAAAATGTTGGGTTTTTTTTCTAGCAACATAATTTCTGAGGTATGGGCAACAGGACTGACACATAAAAATGTCTTCTCAGCTAAGACTGCATCATTTAATTACAAGCTGCGTGTGAGTTCTTGTACTTAGTCTGTCACTGCCAGGCAGCAGAGAGAAAGAGATGTTTCTGGAAATCCTTGGCGTCGTCTTAGTTGAATAATCAACAATTTATGGTGATGTTGAGCATTTTTACATTTATTCAACTGGAATCAAATATAATTTTCTCCAAAAAAAAAAAAAAGTTGCACAGAGAGAGGTTGATTTGGTTGGCTGATGCTATGAAAAATTACACATTCCAAGGAAAATGCAAGTTCAAAGAAAAGATTTAAACTGGCTATCCATAAAATTGACTGAAGCCTGACTGACCTTATTGTGGAAGTTGTTGTGACAAACTGCTGTGTGCTACTTTAAAGTTCAAAAATATCTTACTGTGCAGCTGTAATTCAGCCCAGTGCATTATCTTGAAGTAAAGCCAGCCAACCTAAAACAACGAGTTGATTTCGGAGTGCATTGATGCAACGTGTAATCCCTCCATTGATCGTAAACTTTCAAAAGTCTCTGGCAGTGTGGGTCGGCCAATCCCATTTCACTCTTGGACCTATTTTCACTTTTATTCTGAGCTCTCTCAGATCAACAAAAAGTCTCAGTCAAGTCACGAAAGGCAGATCTCTCCACAGGAGACTCAACAGTGTGACAGCCGCCGAAATGTCACAGCTACTGTTGCCACCCTGCACGCACATCAAGCATAAAGTAAGAGCAGAAGTTGGTCAGTTGGAGGTTAAATTGCATTCTCAAATCCCTCATTCTTCAAATCCTTGCTGGTCTTCAAAGCTGTAACGATTTGCATTCAGTCTGTTTTGTAAGCTCCATGAATGCTTTCAGGAGTCTTCACAGCTAATGAAAGTACATTCTACCAACCAGAGTAAAGTGCTGTTTGTTGCAGTCAAAGCTGAGCTCTTTGTATCACTTCTGCAAGTCACACTGCTATCTTCATCAACCTCATTATACAAGAGTGACCTGGAACCAGGAGGGAAGCAGTTCTTCATTACCATAAGCTAAATGTTTTATTAAAGTTGTTCTCTTGGCTACAGGTGCATTACCAGTGAGAGCAACGCTGTCAACAGAGGAAATCACTTCTTTTCACACTTGATTTCAAGCATTTATGACCTCTGATAATTGCTGTTTGACAGACGGCTTGAGAAATATGGCATAATATTTTATAATAATGTGAATGATAAGCAGTACCGTATCACCCTACTTCAACCTGGATGTCGAGATGTAACGACATTTAAAGTTGGCCTATTTCGTGGCTTATAACAAGTTATTTACAGCCTATTTCAAAAGGTTTTCTTACTTTTATACATCTTACTTTCATGTTTTTTTGCAAATCTTCTAAGGCAGATCAGTGCAAGCATGGAAAATGTCACAAATCTATCGCCACCTGATAGCAACAGCTCATACTTGACTATGTTCAAATTTCTAATACTCTTGTCTGGTATTGGCTATTAGCAAAATTCTGGCTGGTGTTCAGGCAAAGTAAGCTCTTCTGAATGCTGCTTGTAAGTTGAACCCTTCAAAGCAATCAAGTCCTATGAATTTTAACTTGGTATGGCACTTTCTGTTTCCTTTGAATCCAAATATGAAATAACATGGAGGGACATTTCTTTAAGCCAATAACCACAAGGCTGGAGGCAGATTCATGTTTTTTTTTTTCTTGCTACTACAAACTGTGAGCATGATAAAAGAGGTAAACAATATCTTTGAAGCTCAGTGTTGTAACAAAGAGGGGCATCTTGGGGACACAAAGTCTCCATAACAACCATAACAGGCTCTTGGTTGTTTGTGAGTGATGCCAAAAAAATAGCACTAACATTGCAAATATAAATTTGTGGAGTTTGCTAAGTTTACTGGGACTCCAACTGGAACCCTCTGCTTTTGCCAGAGAAAGACTAAGCTTCTTGACAACAAACACTCCAGGTGGGTTTGGTAGGAAACAAAAGATAGACATGTGAAAAGAAACCTCATGCTCTCTGTTGAGAATGGTGGAGAATCTCTGAAACTGTGGAACCGTTTTTCTCCCTAATAGATTATTCAAGTGAAAATGGGTCGTCATTATGTCTTTCAACAGGATATTGATACAAAACAATCACAGACATAAAATTAGCCCATCAGCATCTTAGTCCACATGAAGTCTGGTAGAAAACCTACAGGAGCTAAAGATAAAAGAACATAAAACATGCGAGACTATACAACTGCAATAAAAGATGGATTTATTTTAAGACTTTTTATGCATTTCCACTAGGGGTGCCATCACAATTTTCTCTGAAAAACTTTTTTTTTTTCTTTCACACGCTGCAACTTCTTTTAATTAGCCTTTCAATTGCTGGCTCACCTTTGCTTATACTGTATTGGTTACCTACCTTTGGGACTGTTGTGTATCAGCTGCGCTGGGTTACCACGGCGAAGAGACAGCAGGATAACTGAAATAATTAAAGGTCAGAAAACAGTGCGAGAAATGAGGCTGATGTTAATGAGGCCTACATGCCAGGCCTTGAGACTGAGGAGGGAAATGGCAGGGGAAGCCCGACTGAACGTACAGTGAACATTTCTACAGCACCAACTCTAATTTGAGCGCAAATGTATTAAATATTAACAATCCAATTTATAGTTCAGTACTTTGTATGTCTAATTAGTTGGTGAGTCTTGTTTACAATTAGTGAAGCTCACGTACAGCACATTTTTTAGCTGAATCACAACGCAGTGTTGTGGCTCACTTAACTTCAAACAAATATAAGATTGATTGGCCTGCTTCTACTCTTATCCATACGCTTGCTGCTTCTTTTGCTTTTTAATTTGTTACAAATTGAAGACAAAGTCTTTACCAGTTAGGCATTGAAATTTGACAAGTCTGTGTACCCCCACCAAAAAAAAAAAAAATAGAATTAGGCATTGTCTCCAGTCTTTCGTCCATGTCTCTATTATGTGTTGCAGGTGTACGTGTACATAGCACTGTTTAGCTCTTGTCTGTCTCACCTCCTCTATACCGCCTAGCCTGTCTATGCCTCTCTGTAAGGGGCCCCAAGGGGTCCCTGTGTCCTGTCAGAACACCACTGTGCCTGACTTTCATTAGCCAGCACCCCACAGGCTCTGTCACGCAGCGTAAACACACCCCAGTGACACACGGCGAAAGCAGGCTGCCGCCGCCCAGACAGAGGTCTATTGTATGCTCACGGATGCCTGCTGCAGCGTACAGCACTGTTTCAGAGATGGCAGAGGTTTCGGAGAAAAAAAGAGAGCAATTATTTACCCACATGTTTTTTTGTATCTTTCCACATAGATGCATGAGTGAACTTTTAACTAGTTTGGAAACTGAAATTCAGTATACACGTATTTTGAAATAACGTTATTACAGATTATTTGATCAGCAATTTTGTATCCAATTTCTGATCACCAATTTAGTTCTGACTTGCTGATGTTAGCCGATTCATCTTTCAGAGGTTTAAATAGCAAAAATACATTTAACAATAAAACATTGGTTCCTCACCAGTAGACCAAATGTAAAGAGCTGCTCTACTCAATGAAAACTTACCAATACAATAAAATCCCTTTGGATATGGCGCAGAATTACATCATCTGTCCTTTACAAATGAGGCTACAGCTGACTTGCCTTTTTGCAGGTTTTGAATGACTCTTGAGAAAAAATAGGCTCATTCAAAACACATGAAGTAAGAACAGTAAAGCAAAGTCCAAATTAATATTTGAGAGAAAAATGTTATGTAAGGTGTTACACTATTTATTCAGTTGTTTATTTATAGCTTCAATGGAGAGTTAAAGCAGCCTTTCTACTCAGAAATATTTTTCATATACATTTGGAGCAGCTTTACACCACGTCTAAGTGAGAGCGGGTGACCTGTGGTTCTCAACTCTGCAGTTAAACAGTTTCAAAAATGTTTCAACATTTTAAACTACTTGAAATCTTACATTATAGATAACCATGATTATCACAGTTTTCTATTTATGTGTGTCCGCTAACTGAAAGACAATCTGTCAGAGCTTAGCTATGATGCATTCACTGATCCTAAAACAATACGATTGTTGAGTTCATAACCAGCTGCTCCAGCATCAAGGAAGATCAAGATGATTTGTCAGTTCATCTGCAGTTCCAGATTCATCTCTGGATGCATCTTTAAAATGCACAAATAGAATAGAATAGAATAGAATAGAATAATTATTTATTCTATTAATTGGTAGCTGTGTGTTTTCAACTGACCAGCAAAGTGACTGGCAACTCAAAATATCAAACAAAACTTTTAGCTGAGTTATGGAGTGATTGGAATCAGTCGACTTGATCTGATTGAAACTCAAAAATACAACTCAAAATTACCCATTTTAAAATCACAAGTGAGGTGCTTAAATTGATAAAAGGAACTCTTTGATAGAAACGTATATGCACATGCGTGGAGCAAGGTTTAAAGCACATAAAAAAAGACTTCACATTTTACAATAAGGTCGCCTATACTTAGCTTTCAACCTCTGCTTAGTATAAGATACACTAACATTTGTAAATGTTGGCAGAATATTAAAATGTCTGAGTTAAGATAAGGGTCAGAGTTTCTTAGGGAATAATCAGAGAGAGTGTGGTTTTAGTAATATCAACCAAAATAATTGCAAATTCTCCATCTCTAATTTAAAATCATGTCCACTATAACTTTGTCATGCAGTAGTTTTGTTCAGAATCTGTTCATCTGTCACAGTGTCCTGCTTGCAGTGTCTGTTCCCCACGACACTTGAGCTTAAACATGAGCACGTTGTTAAGCATAAAGAGTCAGAAGACGTGAAGATGCATTGTTTGGTCACTAGAAACCGAGCTCGGATCACCCATCTGTTACTGCTACGCTTTCACTGCTGTATACTTTTGAAGAAATGTTTTCCACGCTCAGTTGCTTTCTTTTCTTCTCTTCCTTTTTGTTGTTCTCTGGAACCGTTGTTCATCCGTCCATCTCGTCTGTTGCGTTGCTGCTCTTGTTTGTTTGTGCGCACTGGTGTGTGTACGTGTTTCTCTGGGCCATGACGGGGATGTGGTTTTCTTCTACGGGGTTCATGTTGTTGGGGGACAATTAGGGCATGCATCAAGGAGGGCAATGCTTCAGCAGTTACACGGAGTCACTATGTACTCCCATGACGAGCACCACACCACCGCCGCGTACTGCTGGAACGAGAGAGGTAAGGGGGCTTCGGCAGACACACAAACACACCTACCGCTGTCCTGCTGACTTGTTTGCGTCCGTCCATCAGTCAGAATGTCAACTCGTCTTGTGGCCCTGTGTCATCTGAACATGCCTTCAGCTGCGTCATCTTGTCTTGGACGATGTACGAACTGGGTGGGTCATGTCATCTTTATAGAAGAGCAGCTAAATCTTTCACAGGCTTTTTGCTTGGTACTGCTTTTATGGTCAAGGGAGATCTCCTCCTCTTTTTGTTTCTTTTTAGGTTGTGTTTAATCAACAAGGAGAGCTTGGGTATTCTGGGGTTTAAAGAGCCAATGTTCAACTTTTCTTCGATAAAAGCACTTTGGAAAATTATTCGTAACCCTTGACCTTTTCCACATTTTGTCCCATTATCACCAGAAAACATCATTGTATTTTACTGTATTTTACGTAATGCAACAAAACAAAGTTGCACATGATTGTGAAATGAAAGGAAACGTTTTTTCAAACTTTTTGTTTACCAAAAAAGTTAAATCTGCAGAGTGAAACTGGTTTGAAAACCATCTAAGCTTTTTCTTCAATAAGTTTAATGATTTTGTGTTGGCCTGACAAAATCTTGACAAAATGCATTGATGTTCTTGGTTTGAATTGGACAAAAGGTGGTAAAGGTTTAAGGAATAAAATACTTTTTAATGGCACTGGTAGTACAAATCTATGTAAAAGATAATTAGATTGGATATTTTGCCATCACAATACTGTAAAGTTGCAGCCTTTTAATATCCGTTTGGATTCAATTAATCTGTTTGATAAGCGTACACCAGGCTCTGCACCTATCTGTACTTGCTTTTCCATAAAGCCTCCACTTTTTGTAACATCAGTCTGAGTGCAGTACTGAACGTCTCTTGGCTCTGAATTATTCAGAAATGCAGCAATACGGAAATACTTTCATGATGGAAGCTTTAAGCACACAATGAAGGAGTGGGACGCAGAATGCCGAGATGGAGTTAAAGAAGCTTTTGAAATTGGTGCAGTTTGTAGAGTGTAAGTGTGTGTGGGTTTGCGTGTCTCGCCAGATGGAGTCCTGCCAGTGACTAAGGACTAGTATGATGTCAATAAACTTAAAGCATAAATGTGTATGTGTTTCTTCATGTGTGCGGGTGTTTATGTTTCAGGTAGAGGTGGTGTTTCTGTCCAGGTGTCTTTACTGTGAATATTCACTTTGCTTCTAAGTGTTTGACATCCATTCACAGGCATTTTTGTTGCAGTGTTTTGCATCACTTAGTCAAGAAATGAGCCATGTTTGAGTTTTAAAAATGTTTCGACCATGCTTATCACTCCTTTTCCTTCCTGTATGCCCTTTTTCTTTTTAACCGCTTGTCCTGCCATACCTCCTTTCTGTTGTGCCTCCATTCCTCCCCACTAATCTTTCACCAACTCTTGTAAAAAAAAAAAAAAAAAACGTTTTCCATAACTTTACCTTACGTTTCTTTCCCTCTTGCTCCTCTTCTCCCCATCATTGCTTCCCATCTGTCTCCTCATTCTTTGTTTCCACCATGCCTGTGTGTTCGGCCATTGTTCTTGCCGCTGCTGCTACAGAGAGTCGTGAAAACTCCTTCAGCCGCTCTCGCAGTTCCAGCGTGTCTAGCATTGACAGGGACACCAAAGAAGCTATCACCACACTGCAGTTTGGAGAGTCCTATGGACGCAAGAGTGATGCCCTGCCCACACCATGTCTGTGGGTAGGGACTAGCTTAGGAGTGGTCATCCTTATCCCACTATCGATCCCCACTGACCACGACGAGAGGATGGAGGACCCTGTCACTGTTGGCCCTAGTGGTAAGCACCAGCACTTCTAGGTTTTTACTGACACAAAGTGTAGCTCATGGACTGTTTTTATTTGTGTGTTGTTTTAAAAGAGGAAAAATATGTATGCCTTTGTGAATAATCAGTGGAAAAGCCTTACTGGCATTACAGCAATCAAACTCTTGCTGTAATGCAAGAGTTAATTTTACATTATTAAAGTGCTCAAATTAAAGGTTGTTGCATTTTCCCTGTTTTTTTTTTCAGAATGGTATTTTAATAAAAATAGTGTAAGGGAACTGAACAAACTGTGTTTCTCTTTTTTCTTTTGTTGTTTTCCTCTTAAATTGTGTGATTACATGCCCATCTACTCTAAAACCTCTCAAAATACCATGTTTCTGCAAAAGAGGCCCTTTTAGTATAATGGCAGGATATTTTCTGCAGACTTGAGTGCTCTACATTTCACTCTTAGAACAATGTAAGTCAAACACAGCAAGCATAGGTAGCTCATTTATTTCAATTGGATTTAATCTGTAGTGGAAGATAACTTTTACAGGAATTTGTCATTCTTGATCTTGTAAATTACTGCTATCACTCAAGAGTTCAAACGGGTTTTCTGCTTCGCCGTTTACTTTGAACATGATTAAATAGCAGCAAGCAAACATGCCCCATTCGTCCTTATTCCTCTGAAGTAAAACAGAAACCTTGTGTAAAGTAATGGCTTTCTAAAAAATTGGCTGTCTTAAGTAAAACAGCTGAAACAAACTTGTTTTTACAATCTATGTTTTTCAGTTGTCCAAATCTTGAAGACATCAGTCTGGTCATAAGTGTAACTAAGAAAACATTAGCAGCTGTCGGTAAAAATACTGGCCATCGTGTAATCATATGTGCATTTCTTAAGCTTATTTATGAAATCTAAACTTTAAATTACTTTAACAGATATTGTTATGGATCCAACAGCTCCATAGCTTCTACATTTGCAGCCTTGAAAATTGTGGACCACTTGACTCTTATCTCTTGTTTGTCCTTTCCAAACTTCCCAGGAGCAGTCCTAATGTTAAAAGGCTCTGTGCTTCGCTTTGGTTTCTTGGACTGCAATGGAGCTCTAATTCAGAGCCCATATGAGGTTTGGCGGGACCTGAATGCCCCAGAGGACCCTGACAGACCACGGAGGCGCAAGCTGGTCCACTTTTCCCCGTCCTCTTCCCAGGATGCCTTTGGAGAGGGACATTTGGCCGTGGTGTGCTCTGAGAGGCAGGCCAAAGTCTTCTTGATGCCCTCACAGTCATGCCTCTTTGTCCACAACATCACAGAGTCGTCCTTTGTGCTTCGAGCTGATGTGGTATCTCTGTGCAACAGTGTGTGCCTGGCCTGCTTCTGCGCTAACGGACACGTCATGACACTCAGGTAAGATTGATCTGCAGCGCTCAAGAGTGCTGCATGTGTAAGATGTACACGTAAACCAAAATGTAAGAAAAAGGATCATTTAGAAAGGTTCTTACCAGTAAAAGTCTGAAAAGCACAGCACGCATTCCCAGCTATCTTGAATCAGCACTTTTTGCAACTTTAAAGTGGATATCATGCTTTTAAATCCTTCCTTTTCCCATTTAAATCATTTACTCGTGCTGTACATAAAGCTGTCTGAATGTCTCATTATACAAGCTCCACTTTTGTATCCCTGTTCTGATTTGTGCCTGAGCAACTCACTTCGGTGTGGTTTCTTTAAATGCAGCTTAAGCATCTATTTACAATGATCTAGCTCCACAGAATTTTACCATCCATCTTTACATGTTAAAGCCAGAATTGCTACCAAAATTTCAACGAACAAGTCTTTTAGACAAGGTATCAACACAGTTGTAAGAACCTTCGAAGATGTTCTGATGCTATGGAACAATGTGATGAATTGTGTGGGTTAATCTGAACATCCAACATCTGAACACTTCGATCCACTTGTAGTTTCGGGCTCCTTGAACTTAGACTTCAAAATTACTGCAAGAAATAAAACTGGAAGTGTCACAAAATTGGTTAGCCAGAAGTTAATGGCCTTTTTTTTTTGGCAGTTCTGAAGCAAATGCTGTGTTTTATTGGTCGGAGAAAAGTGCAACAGAGAAACTGAACAGATGGAAAAAAATCTGAAAATATAAAGATATCTACACAGCATCAGAGAAAAATTCAACTTTTCTGCATTCCTATGGACTCCAAGTACACAACAAAATGCATCCAAGAACTAAAAAATTGGATGTTGCATGATGTGTCTTCTTTAAGTCTTATGGGAATTGTCTTGTAATAATCTTCTCACATCAAAATAGGGAGATTTTTTTGTCAAGTCCAGATGAGAACTGCTAAAATTAACTGCATAGTTACAGTCAGATTGAGATCCCAACATTTACAAATATAGTTGATTGATTCCGCTCAATATTTTTCATTTAAAGCGCCTGATCTGATGCATTTCAGACATGAATATTAAAACAGAATTCGTCTGGATATGCATTGACTTTCTAGTCTTCTCTCGTGCACTTTGTAGATATAATGTTCTCAAAGTTGAGAAAATCTGCTTCGAGAAATTACTCTTCACTACTCAGCTGGAAGCTAATTGGTTTTATTTGACTATCTGATTTCCTTTTCACTGCTGGGCATAAAGTTAGCTTCCCATTTGTTTCTTTGTTTAGAAAGTAACTCATATGATCTAAGTGTTCACCAGGTGTCTAATGTGTCTCTCATTCACTCCTGTCATTCGTCTCGCAGTTTGCCCAGCTTAAGGCCGCTGATGGATGTCAATTACCTGCCTCTGACAGACATGCGCATAGCAAGAACCTTTTGTTTCACCAATGAGGGGCAGGCACTGTATCTCAGCTCCCCGACAGAAATCCAGAGAATTACATACAGCCAGGAAATGTGTGACAACCTGCAGGTGAGCACTGTGGTTCTGTGCATAGGTATGTATCTTTTGGTTGGGAAAAGCAGCGGCGCTGTGAAGGAGCTGTATCCATTATTCATGGCCCTGTTAAAGCCCGGGGCGGACGGCGGGATTAGGCGTCAGATGTCACTTTGGTTATACATGGTGCAAACTTCAAAGGATTTGAACATTTATATGGTTTTACTGTGTAAATGTGTTCATTTAAATATGAGCATCATCATAGATATTTATTGGTCAGAGCTGACGTTCCACACTTGCAGCACATGGATGTGGATTAAGTCATGTGATGTTTCCATAGTGCCATCTAGAGGCAGAGGTGGTCACAGTGTCATTACTGATGTGTTGGCGTTGTACCTCTAAGAAAAATGGCTGAAATATGAGTCTTAAAGTTTTAATTTTTGCTCTCTATTTGTTCATTTCAGGAAATGCTTGGGGAACTGTTTACTCCAATAGAAACACCAGAAGCTCAAAACAGAGGATTTTTAAAGGGCTTCTTTGGAGGAAACGCCCATACTTTCGACAGAGAGGAGCTTTGTGCGTCTTTTTATTATTTAATCATAACTTATCATGCATTGTATCTAGAAACCTAACTTATTCATTAACAATAAGACGGCATGAGACAATTAACCCTTTCAAGATTAATTCAACAGCTAAAATACACATTAAGAGCACCAGAGGGATAACGGTTTATGAAAATGTCATTTTGCCTGATGTGGTTCCCAGTTGGTGAGGCAGCAGCTGGGAAGGCTTCTCGGAGTCTGGCACAGCACATCCCCGGCCAGGGAGGTGTAGAAGGCATGAAGGTGGCGGCGAGTGGAGCGGTGGGGGAGCTGGCTCGGGCTCGCATCGCTCTGGATGAGAGAGGCCAGAGGCTGGGGGAGCTGGAGGAGCGGACCGCCCTGATGATGACCAGTGCAGAAACTTTCTCCAAACATGCTCATGAGGTGAGGATAGAAGACAATATTTATGTTTAAGGGTCCACAGTGAAGGCAGCCATACTGTCAGTAATGTTTCATAGGTCTGCACGACGTTTCGGTTTTACTGCTTGCTTTTTTTGCCACATTTCTCTCACCTCTCTTTATTTAATAATTATCACAATGTTCTCATGCCCATGAGCTTCGGTATCTCAAACACAAAAAATATATATATATTTTTTTTAACATCAGGGAGAGAGAAATCCATCCAGTTTGAATGAGTAGTATTTGAAATGTAATATTCTACCAAATATTCCTTTCAAGCACCTTGTTCCAACTGTGATATTATACACATTAGTACTACAATTATAACTGCAAATTTCTGCATTCTTATTCATTTTCACTTCAGTAACAGATATTCCAACCTAGAAGGTGTTACTGCAAGATTTTAATTCAGTGTTTTAACAACATACCACCTCAAACATGGATTGCTTCATCATTTTTGTCTAAAGTCTTGATTCAAAGCACAGAACTACAAACTTGAATAATCTAATGAATTGCTCCTGCAGATGATGTATTATTGCAGAGCAATTACCTGAATGCTATGCTACTGCTAGCATATTTATTCTGATTTGACTTTTTTTTTTTAGACGAAGAAAATGTGCATTTACATCCCGCTCTCATTGTGCAATCAGCTAGTTGAGGCTTCAGAGACGTCTCATTTGACTTTTACCACAGGTTGAGGAAACTAATGAATACTGAAGGGTGTGAGTGAGTTAGCATGGGAGAAGGGCCCACAGCAGCACTCTGTGGTGGTTGGGAAGAGCAGGAATGATACGTGGTTTCATGTCAGAGATTTCATAAGCCACAAGATCTATTAGTTGATTTATTTATTTATTTATTTATTTATAAAAGTTTATAAGGAGCTGCAGCAGCCAAAACAGTCATTCATTTACAGTCTCTCTTGTAAAGGTTGAAAAACACTTGGCTCGTTAGAGGGAACCCAAGAAAATCATATCTTTGATTTTTTTTTATTTTTTTATGGATTGCAGGAAATACGGTTTGCAAGCTAACATTGGTATGACTGACTTGGACTTGCATTGCTGTTGGCCCCGACAGCTGCTGTTTTCAAATTATTGGCAAAATCCTTTTATGATGACAAAAACAAGCTCCCCCATGTTGAGGAAAAAGTAACCAAATTCATTGGCGGCTCAGCTACTGTTTATTTTAACTCTTTGATTTATTAACCAACAGCGTATGACTCTGTCTTTTTGCAGATGATGCTGAAGTGTAAGGACAAGAAGTGGTACCAGTTCTAACATCGGGACGGCGGGATGAGGCTGCCACTGGCCTATCAAGAACTTCATGCTGCGACTGGACTTTCACATGTGAAATGAAAGCAATCAGAAGAGACAGAAGAGTGACTTTGTCTTTACAGCTTTTAGAACTAGCTGTGTGTACTTCAGTGTCACTTTGCTGAAGGACGAGAGCAGGTTTATTCCTCGTCTAGACGGGAGGTAATACGGACAGTTGGGGACAGTTTGACGGTCTAAAGAAAGAACTTGAAATATCCAACAATGTGGTGTGAGTGTGTGTATGCGTGTTTGTCTGAGTGTGAGCTTGTATGGTTGGGATTTCTGGATCTTACTGTGTAGATACTCAAAAGTTATGAAACCAACAAGAAATGCATGAAACAGCAATGGATGAGTATTAAAAAATATCCAACTGCCATATTAAAAAGCAGCATGCTAATTTAAGAGGAGATTTAAAATGATTAAAAAAAGAACTTTTATTTATGATGTAAGCCAACGACAGAAACTATGAAAAACTTTATATTTTTGAGATACTGGCAAAAAAAAATAAAAAAAAATAAAAAACTATATCTAAAAAGGGAATCGTATAACTGCATTGCTATTAAGCCAAAACTTGTGTTACTTTCCCTTTTTTAATTTTCATTTATGGTTAATTTTATTAGTCTTTTTATTAGTCTAAGCAAATATTACTTAATACAATATAAATGCACATAAATAACTATCTACACAGACTTGGAATAATGTAATATTCAAACTTTCTTCTAACTTCATTTACTCTGGGCTGCACAATGCAAATTTAAATAAGTAGTAATAACACTTAACTCTGCAAAGTCTGATCACCCTAACGTGTTTTCACTGTTTGAGCTGCTGCTACTCTCAAATACATTGGATGACAAAGACAACTCCATACTCAAAAGGTGTGTAAAAACAGCAACTGAAGTGACATAGATGAGGACAGTGTATTCTGAATCGTGTGTTTATATCTGTTGTACAAACCTATATACAGTTTGTGTGCCATAAAAAGCAAGTAGGAGGAATCTTTTCACTGGAAGCTTAAGCAAGACGAGGGCATTAGCGGGAGCGATAGATCTTAAAGAATTACATATGAAGTTCTTCGTAGAGGGCATATCAAAATTCATTTCCTTTTTTTTCTTTAAACAATATATACAAGGGCAGTGGAGGTTTTTGAAATGGGTGAATTTGCAGGACTGCATCCGGTTGAAGGGTGGCACTAGCACTTGGGAGGAAAAACTATTCTCTAATCCATCTATTGCATACCAACTGGTTTTATTATTGCTTATCTGCATGTTTATTCAATTGGGACTCAGGATCAACAGAGAAAATATGTCCCTGTATTGCGGGTAGAGAAAGACTCTTAGGTTGGCACCTGTATCACAACTTTTAATTTGGTCCACAATGAAGAATTTTCTTTGCTTCAAATTAGTACTGAATGTATTTTGTAATTTCTTTTTTTTTTTTTTTTTTAAATACGAATAATTTCAACCGGTCAAACTTTGAAGGTTTATTAATCTACATGAGCGGTAGATTTAAGACACATTAAAACCTTTATTCTGTTTATGAAAACACAAAAATGTAATTATTTTATCTTTTTTTCTTTTTCTTACATTTTGGCACTGAAACATAAAAATCTGGAGCCAGAAGGAAAGGGACTCGCGCAGGTCACCTTTAATGCAAGTAAACAAAGGCGTTTTTTAATGTAGGTCTTTAACAGCCTCTGTTGGACGTCAAAGTTTAGCAAGCCTTTGGGTTGTGTGTGTGTGCGTGCGTGTGTGTGTGTGTTCAAGAAAGATTTCAAATATTACTTTTTTTTTTCTGTCAAAGCAATCAAAAAATGTGCCCTCCCATCTTTTCAGTGTTAAACCCAAATAGGCATTTACTCGCAACCCAGGACGGCGTGCGTTGTGATTTTCAGTTTTTCCGATAAAAGTGAGTTGAGATCACATCAGTTTCATCTCTGCCGTCTGTGAGTAGTGTATCTGTAAACAGTTCAGGGGAAATAACAGATTTTTTTTTTTTTTTTAGTGATGTTCAAATGTTGAGTCAGTGAAGAAAAATATGTATATGTGTAAAACATTTGCAGAAATTTCAACTGGAGGCAAAAATGGTTGTTTTTTTCTTTCTTTTCAATATTGTTCTTACTGACTATGATATCCTTGTGTCGCAGTCAAATATTTGATGGTTACAGCCTCTTCACTGATGGCTTATGTATTTTTAAAAGCAACTAATGTTTTATGATACATAGTCGTGTATCAAATTGTGATTGTGTTGTACGTCAGTGGGTAGCCACACGACACAGACTAACAGCGTCAAACAAGAAGGATATTTTGTACTTGTGAACTCGTCCGTATTTTGAACTGACATGAAAAAAAAAAAAATCCAAGGGTACCAACTTTGATCACTCGCGTGTTTTTTATCCTTTGGAGCATCACCACATCGAGGGTAAAATAAATTGCCTCGGTCAAGTAGAGGCCGGTTTCACATCCAAGATGAGACATACATTAAATGCATTTAAAATCTGTAAAACAAAGATCCACAAGTAAATCGGTCATTTCCACCAGCTTTGTCGGGCTGCTGAGACATTCCTTAGACTCAAATGGCCTGCATACAAACATAAACTAACCTAAACATTCTGAGCTTTCACAGTGGAGCTACATGAATAAAAAGAAAAAAACACCATGATTTTGATTCAATAATACATCATCCTCTTATCTCTGTACCGTCAGTGACATTTGTGTTCTGTGCAGTTCTTTCAGTGGCAGAGAATACGCATAAAAAGAAAACAAAACCAAAATTCAGAAGGAAAAACAAAAACTAAAAAAAATCTGACTTCTGTTGACAGGGTGTTTTGTTAAGCTTTTTTTTCCTGTTTTTGGTTTGTATGTTTTCAGTTTTTATATTAACTGTACAGTTTAACTTTGGGTGAAAGGTAAAACATACAAAAAATGATTTCTGTATTTGTTCTACCTGTTACTGCTGGTACTATACTATCTGGTATTCTGGCTCTGTCTAAATCACTGGAACTATGTAGTTCTTCACAATGTAGTATGCTGAAATGGCATTTTTTGGTTTTCTCAATAATGGCAACAACGTTTGTCTTATTTCAATGGATTCCACTTTTTGTTCTTGATATATTCTAGTGTAATAGAAATAACTTGATAAAAAAGGTCTGAAAATATGTTGATGCAAAAGCAAAACTGAAATAAACATTGATTGATGTACACACTGGAAATCTCTGTTCCTTTGGCCTCTAATGCTGTCATGCTCTTTTATCAGAGTACAGGAAATGTAATTTTAGGAGTGAAACGTTAAGGAAAACAATTACATTTACATTTAGAACCTTTTTATTTGAAAATATATATTTTAAAAAATATTCTGTCTGACTGCTGATTCAAGTGGAACAAATTTGTATTATGTTCCATTTGTACTCAGAAAAAAATTGACATTTAAACAGCTTGAAGCTAAAAACATAATTTGTAACTCTCCTTTAAGTCAGAGATACAATTATAGAAGTTGGTGGCTCACCTTTGACTCCAATATGGCTCCTGCAAATACCAGAGAAAATTATGGTTACAGTAAACAGCTTAATTACTCTTTTGTGTCTCACTAAATCCATCATGTTGATAGTAGAGTATGACCGTCATTAGTGAAAATGTTATGTTTGAATGCACTACATAGGGGAAAAAAACATTTTCATCATTTTGCTAATTGTAGTTATTCTGGTCACTGAGCAGAACAACTAGCAAATCCCCAACGTTTTTGCATGAAATACTGTTAAATTGAGGTTAATACTAAGTCTAAGCTCTTAATTTTTGAGCAAAATGTAGTGCAGCAATGCAGAAGATATTTTGCTAATACAGCTCAAAGAGCCATGTGTCTGTTATAAACATATTTTGTCTGTTTTGATGCTAAGATCAAATCTTAGGCTCAATGGTTACCTTCCAGCAAGATTGTCCTGGATTTAAATTCTGCCCTTGTCTCTTTTTGCATGGATCTTTTGTGGTTTCCAGCTACTTTGGCTCTGGTCCAGAGGATGACAGTTTGGTTACTTTGTCTCTGAAAATTGTAAGATGTTAATCTGCATGGTTCTTTGATCTGTGTATCTCTATGTTGCACAATGATGAACTCGCAACCTGTCCAGGGTTTATCCTGGCTCTCGCCAAATCACCATTTGAGTTAAATAAGAACCGCATAGACAGTGGACATAGATAATGAATAGATATGCTTTTTATATTAGTTTTTTAATATTGTTTGATAATGTCTCTGACGGTCCCCGTTTTAGATTGACACTCTTTCCTATTTCAGAACATTGTTTCCCCCCCCCCCCCCATTCCATTCTATAGATAAACTCCTCCTGCGCCGCCGTAGCTGTGTCATGTGCCGGGCAATATAAAAAGAGCAGACCTAGCCAATTATATTTTATTTTACTTCCGCGTTTCTCTCCAATCATGTTCTTGTTTAGTATTTTGTTGCTCCTGAAGCCAATTGTTGCTACAGTTCCTCGAAGCCTCAACCAATAGGAGCTCCTCCCTGCCAGGTCTGAGCCCGCCTCCCAGGTTTATTAAGCAGATTCCCGAAGTTTAGCTGAACTGCAAGAAAATACTTATAAAGCAGAAATAATATGAAGTTTATTTTAAACAGACATTAAATATTAGCAATGCCGCTGCTGCCTGGAGCATTTGCAGATGGAAACGGAACATATTAAGACACGACCCTTGTGTTTCTCATCTTTTGGTGGGCTTCAGCAGAAGACGGCAGTGAGAAAAAAGGCTCGATCGAAAGAAAAGAAGACCTGGCGTTATGTCTGTTCGACTGTTGCTGCTGCTGGTTTTTAGTCTGGAGGTGTTCAGGTGTGAGCTATCCGGAGAAAAGGTTGGCTCGGTCATCAGCGCTGCTAAAACGTTGGTGTGGGGACCAGGGCTGGAGGCGGACATCGTCCTCCCTGCTCGATTCTTTTATATTCAGGCGGTGGACAGCTCAGGGAAAAAGTGAGTAAATCTGGCCTGGTCTGCGTATGTTGTTCTCCCTCCCTCAATCCCAAGTAATGGATGTTTTTTTTTAATGTGAAACATTGAAAGTTTTCCTATTTTTTTAATAGTTTGCCGTCAACCGTCCTCCAAAAATAAATAACTAAAAATCGATTTTTGGAAGTTGTTTCCAAACAAGAGTGCAGACAAGTACAACTCAGTTTAGTTTAGTTATATAGCGATGTTTTATAATAGATTTATGGCCCTTTACAGAAAGCAGTTTCGGTTTGGACCCAATCGGATAGAATTCTAAATCAAGTCGACTCAATCTATTTTAAGTCCAGTTCTTAAAGTAAGGGTCGAGGCCCAGCTGTGGATCAGAACAGTTAATGGTCTGGAAACCATTTGCATTTAAAGAGAACTGTAACATCCTGCTACAACAACTGGTACAATATCTGAGAATATATCAAATATCTTTAAAAAAAACAACAAAACAAAGAAAAAAAAAACGGAGTAGCATATAATCATCAAACACATTTTAATATTAGGTAAAGATATCCCGGGCAAATATTTCAAATATTGACTTCACTTCTGGCTGAAAAAAAGCATTTACTCTCTCTGCTCTGATAATAGTTATCAAAACTGGAAAAAGCTGCTACTGTATTTAGCGTTACCTGCAGACTGTCTCATCTGTTTACAGTTTCTATTTTCCCTGTTTGCTAAAGTAAAAAAGTTGAAACTTAGAACTAGAGAGAACACATGGAGCTGACCTTCAGGCAGTTTCGTCACACATCTTTTGTCCTCTGAGGGGGAAAAAAAACAAAAAACTTTAAAGGTTCCACATTTAGGGTGTGTTCTCTGTTTAGCTGTATCATTTTCACTCATTTTGCGCAGGGAGCCACAGTAGATATCAGATTTAATTTTAAGCAGGCAGTGTAATCTTAAACTATTTCCAATCATAAATGATCTCTCTGTATCCTGATACTTTTAGTTTAACTTCGTCGCCTGGAGAGAAGACTTTTGAGGTAAAGATGGTCTCCCCAACAGAGCAGTTTACCAGGATCTGGATTCAAGTTCTTGATCGTCGGGATGGGTCGTTCTTGGTCCGCTACAGGATGTACGCCACCTACACTGACCTGCGCATCCATGTTCTGCTGAAAGCCCAGCATGTTGCCAAGTCACCCTATATTCTCCAAGGTAGAAAACTGTTCAAGTTGCCATAACAATGTGTGTCAAAAGATTACATTTTTGAAGTGGAACTTCAACATTGTTGCTATGACACAGGGTGAAAAAGCATGAATATGTCTCTCCTTCCCAGGCCGAGTGTACCACGAAGGCTGTGACTGTCCTCAGCCAAGTGGTTCTGTATGGGAGAAAAACATGCGCTGTCCTGAGTCCTTCGCCCAGATAAGCAGGGATCTCTCCCTTTATGCGAGTGTTGATCCAGATCTGAACGCACAGGAGATCCCAAAGCGCTTTGGGCAGCGCCAAAGCCTCTGTCATTACACAATTAAAGAAAACAAGGTACTTGGAAAAATGTAATTATAAAAATTATACAAATTATAACTCACAGGTTCAATAAAAGAACAGCTCAAAAAAAAATCCTAAATGCATCCCCTTTACCCCTTAAGCTTTATTCAGATTTTGTAAAATTGCATTCACAAACATCAGTGTACCTGATTGAGATTTTATGAGATTAATCAACGCAAGTTGACCCATCATTCTAAAGCGTCACTCCCAACATGGCATCTTTTCAGAAATCGAATGGGTTTTTTGTTTTATAAATGAGCCCAGATTAACTTAAAAATCAATCTGAAATGCAAAAGAGGTTAGGGTGACTTATTTTTGCCAAAGGGTTTCCCCCAGGAAACTTGCGAAGCCTGGTGGTTGGAGCACTCGGGCAGTCATCCAGTGGCCCACCGTGTTTTTGAGTTAAAAATTGTTTAAAGTTGACAGGAAACTTGAAAATATCACTTGATAATTATGTGTTATTGGAAGATTGATGCCTGAACACCAACTATAAAATCTTAAAAATGCAAACATTAAAAAAACAAAAGATACGTGTAAATAACTTAAGCAATACTTAGCCTGGTGGGGACACAAGTAAAGCCTGGGGGCCCGCCAAGCTTATAATGTACTGGGGGAAACCCTGCTTCTTCATTTTGTCCTTCCTTCCTCCTCCAGGTGTATGTGAAAACATTTGGAGAACATGTCGGCTTTAGAATCTTCATGGATGCCATCTTACTCTCGCTCACAAGAAAGGTGAGCTTTAAAGTGAATAACCTAATACCCTTTAATTTAGAATATTGATCCTATCGAATGTGATGCTTCTCTTCTGCAAGGCTTTCATCATGAATATATATATGAGAACATCAGACAGGAGCTGAATCATTGATATTCTATAAGGGTGTGTTTGCAGGTTCGACTCCCTGATGTTGAGTTCTTTGTAAATCTGGGTGACTGGCCCCTGGAGAAGAGGAAACCCACTGATAAGCTCCATCCTATCTTTTCTTGGTGTGGCTCAAACAACACCAGAGATATCGTCATGCCCACTTACGACCTGACTGAGTCGGTTCTAGAGAGCATGGGAAGGTAGGGCCTTTGAATCAATGTGCATATTAAGTGTTGCTTAGCACCAGAGTTAGTAGTATAATTCAGTCTCATTCAGCAAAACCTTACAGGATTATTATTATTATTATTATTATTATTATTATTATTAGACACAATCAGCAATTTATGCAGGTGAACTTGGAGTGCACTCCAGGAGCTTTTTGAAAATGAAGCCTCTGCTGGTTTCGCTCAAGGGAATTTCTCTCATAAACTAAAATCAAAGGAAGTAATTTGTCTCTTCTTCCTGCCCTTGCAAAGATTTAAAAATAGACCAGCAGAAAACTCCTCCATTAGAACAGGCACCCTGTCCTTCAGTGCCTTGCCAGAGTTTTTACAACCCAGGAACTTTTTTTATTTGCATTTAAAATCTCTAACTTCGATGTATTTAATCTGATAGACCAATAGAACATTTTTTTACAGATAAGTCTGAAAAAAATTTGACATGCATTTGCAGCCAGCACCTGTTAATACATTGCAAAACTGACACTGATTGCAGCAGGAACACACAAAACAAATCCCACTGTTTCTACTGAGGAGACTTTTAAAAACAAAACATTATTTAAATGGAAAAGCAGAATATCAACGTTTAAAATTTGCTTTTTTGAAAGATTAGATTTTAGGTCACATATCAATTAAATGAGTAGATTTCATTCATTTTGTGTCTACAGGAGACTTCATTTGCTTATAAAATGTTTCTATATAAATTATTGTCTGTAATGTTTCTGCCGATTTATCACAATGACTTAGACTCTTATTTTATGCAAGAAGCACAGCCTGCAAATTTTATTTTGCTTTTTTAAGACACTGAGTTTGGCCAAACAGAAGTATATTTTGTCACACAGTTAGATTATTACCCTCTGGAACAGCAGGAGGTTTGACTTCAACTCTGTATTTTCCTGCACCGGACAGAGTGAGCCTGGACATGATGTCGGTCCAGGCCAACACGGGGCCGCCGTGGCCGGAGAAGAACGCCACGGCCTTCTGGAGGGGCCGGGACAGCCGCCAGGAGCGCCTACAGCTGGTCAAGCTGTCTAGAGCTCGCCCCGACTTTATAGATGCTGCTTTCACGAACTTCTTCTTCTTCAAACATGATGAGAGTCTCTACGGCCCGCTGGTCAAACACGTCTCTTTCTTTGATTTCTTCAAGGTAAGAGTGGTGAAGCTGCATGAAGACATGTCGTCTCTGTGCAATATGTCCTGAAACCAATTAGTCATATCTTTAAAGTTACTATGCAGGAATACTAGTTGCCAAGTTAAGTACAACTTTAGATGCAGAAACAGTCAGTAAAAGTATGGAAAAGGAACACAAGGAGTATGGAAACATAAATTCCCCTTATTCCAAAGTTCTTTTTTGTGTCTTCCTTCTTTATGTCCTTTAGTTTTTGTGTCCTTCCCTCCTACTTTGTGAGCTTCTTCATTTTCCTTGTCTTTGCCTCCTTTTGTCATTCATTGTGCCCTTGTGTCATATTTTTCTTTTCTTGTATCCATTTTTTCATTTTCATTCTTGTCCTTTCTTCCTTCCTGTATACGTTAGTGCCTGGCATTTGTAGATCCCATAAGTTAAAAACTAGCCTAATATAAAAAATGTCTGCCCTCTTCAGGAAGTTTTTGAATTTATATTTAAAAACGGGCAGAAGTGGAGAGAGAAGTATGGAATACCTACATGTAAACTATTTAGAAACTAATTTCTCTTCAGGAAGGTAATTATCTCACTTAATTTATTTCTCTCTTCTTGTTCACCTGCAGTATAAGTACCAGATAAACATTGATGGGACAGTAGCAGCCTACCGTCTGCCGTACCTGCTGGCAGGAGACAGTGTGGTCTTAAAGCAGGATTCCAGCTACTACGAGCATTTCTACAACGAGCTGCGGCCGTGGGAGCATTACATCCCGATAAAAGCAAACCTGGGTGACCTGCTGGAAAAGATCAAGTGGGCCCGAGACCACGATGACGAGGTGATCATATGTTGGATGATTATGGTCACTAAAACTGAACTGGTGTCGTTATGAACAACCATTTCACACACAGATTTTTTTATTTTCTTTCTATTATCAAGAGAGCACACATTGTTACTTTTCAAGCAGAACCATCTACAGAATCCACTGTTAAAATCCCAACTGGACGAACAGAGTAATGGAAAAATGCAGGCCTCATTATATCTGTTAAATTATGGTCACATTATTTTTGCATTATCAGATTTCTTCAGTTTGCTGTGTAATACTGTAGGCAGTCCATTTAAGAATACATAATTCACGAGTATGAATTTATTGACTCGCTGAGTTTATTTTATGCCTCTCCGAGTTAACTATATATAAATCTATCAACAGGAGCTCATCAATTATACAATCCTTAGTGAAGTATTCATACCTCTTGAAATGGAATCATGATATAACCACAAACTGCTGTATATTTCGGCATGATTTTGTGTACAAAATATAATCTGTCACTCAGGGGGCTTGGATACAAATGCAGAGTACACTTAGTCAGATTTTAGTTTGTAAAGAAGGTACAAATAGTTCACGTTCCTGTAATTTAACAAATAAGTTGAGATGCATTGTTTTTCTTTCAGGCTTGCTGGGTGTGTATTTTCTTTTAGGTTGTATATGTTTTAAAAGCATTAAATTCAACATGTGACCTATTGATTTTCCAGGGCGTAATTCCTCCTTGTGGTTCTGTTTTTTTTTAAAACACTCATCTTTTTGCAGGCAAGGAAAATTGCCCTTTCAGGTCAGCAGTTTGCCCGCAGTCATTTAATGGGAGATAGGATATTCTGTTACTACTACAAGCTTTTCAAGGTATCACTGCTGTATTTTTCCTTTACCCTTGCTGTTATACCAACCTGAATAAATCATGTTGGTTGTAAACAATATTCATAAAATAATTTTTGCTGTGCTTCATGAAGGAGTATTCCAGACTGCAGATCACAGAGCCTAAGGTTCGGGAGGGCATGGAGTTTGTAGAGCAACCTAAAGATGACTTGTTTCCATGTTCCTGCGACCGGACAGTGGTAAGGGATCTCAGCACGTTTCCTTTATACCAGGGCTGCTTAGAACAAGTGTTAAACGGCTAAAAAATATTTACCAACAATCTGTTCTTAAATGTGTGATTGCTTTATTGAAAAACTGTCTTTCTTCCCTCCATTAAATGGATTCTCTGTTGGCCAAAGTGATTCATTGTTATTAACTCACTTTAAAGTTTAAGAAACTAGATTTTCAGTTAAATTTATCTTTTTTGTAATAGTATTACACTATTGCTTCCAGTAACATACTTTCATTTTAAAGTATCTGGCTCCCTCTGCTGTGCATGAGTTGCCACCGCACTACATTTTATTTTATTTTTTTTACTAATGCGGTTCATCAAGTAGTCCTGAAAGGACAAACATGAGTGTTTCTTTTACTGTTTCACTGTTCTCCCTTTTTCAGGCAAAAGATGAACTTTGATCTTACACCATAGGAAGACCAATGCGTCATATCTGAAATTGCCAAGAGATTTTTTGAAGTTATGATTTATTTGTTTATTATGAGATGAATGTCACTTTTTTATATAATTAAAATTCTTCTTTTTTACATTTCTGTGTTTTTTTTTATTTCCTTGCCTTTATTCAGCATTTACACATTGGCGCTAAATTCACATAAAATCACTGTAAAAGTATTATTAGCCCTGTGTTCATGTTTTGCATGTTGCATACAGAAACATCATAGTTTCCCCATTTTTTTAAATTGTCTTATGTGATGAACCGACACAGATAAGCGCATAGTTTTGAAATTAAAGGAAAATTCTACATTTTCTACGTGTTTTACGAAACGTATCAGCAGTCCAGACCTGAATTCAATATGTGGCACTATTCCAAAATTTATGTTCAGATAGGCAAAAACTGAATAATTGTAAATGCCACTCCTGAGCGCTAGATGGCACTCATTTTCAGTCATTTTGAAGACTACAGAGAAGAACCGCCTACAATGGACAAGTTTAATGAGGTAAATGTTAAAATAACATACGAATTAAAAATAGAAGTCGTTTTCAAGCAGTTTAGGCTGAAAGAATTCACACGGAGAGACTGCAGATGAGGATACACAGACTGTACGTCATGGAAGAGTGCAGTGAACTGTCCAGATGAATGACTTGCTGTTAAACGTATCTTTCAGGAACTTGTAAAAGTACCGTTCGGGACAAAGAGTCTGGACGCAGTCTTGTGTGTTCCAGCGTCACTGAATGATGTTCGGACAGCCGTCATACTAACACACGGTGCGGGAGGAGACATGAACTTCAAACATTTAGTTTCTCTTGCACGCGCTCTGGCATCAGACGGTTTACTCTGCCTCCGTTTCACATGCAAAGGCTTGAACTTGGCTTATAGAGTTAAAGCTTATAATGCTGTCTGGGTAAGTATTTATTGGTTCTGTTAAAAGAAAACTGCTGCAAAATTAAAGAAAAAATCAGGCTTGTGAGCTATTTTGACACTTGTTGAACAGAATTTTATAGTTTTTCAGTTTTGTTTTTCTCCTCCCTCCCTAAAAAACAAGGGTCTATGCGAAAATCCTTATAATGAAATTGCATAAGGCAAACCGCAGAATCAATTCAAAAGAGTTAAGTAAAATAAATAAAGTAGAATGTGACTTTTGTTTCAAGTAGTGAATAGAAACTGTTTGCTTCAGTTAAATGTAGAAATATGTAAACTAGTGTGAATTTGACATACAGTTTGCAATAGCAGCTGATCAGATCTTTCTTGTGTCTCTTGTGATATCATTGACTGGAATTCATATAAGGCAAAATGTACATTTGCTATCGGTGTGCATTTTAAGAAATTTGCATGTTGTGAAATCCTGCTGTTATTTTAATTGCAAAGTCCTCATTTAAATAAGAAACACTCATATTTGTCCTTTCAGGACTACTTGAAAACCTTGGAGAGGTTCACGTTGAAAAACATATTTTTTGGAGGTAAATAGAAAATGCCTCCTGTCCATGCTGATTTCCATTGATAATAGCTTCTTTGTGTTTTAGACAAACTACTGCACTAAATGGGATTCCTTTCATGATAAAATCAGGCAGGTCAATGGGATGCCGTGCGGCTGCAGCCCTCACCAGGCAGCTGAGCGATGAGTCTGAGGACGCAGTGCAGGGTGTCATCTGCCTCTCTTTCCCCCTGCACCCACCAGGAAAGACGCACTCCCGTCATCAGCGGAGTGAAGATTTAAAAATGTTGCCTGGGAGTGTTTGTGTGCTGTTTGTGTCTGGCACTGAGGACACAATGTGCAACGGGGTGAGGGTGAAAATGTTCTGCATTGGATGAGGAAATGGATTTACATTTGTAGATTTTTTTTTCACATTTGCTTTTGTTCTCCTTTTTTAATGTCCTGCCACAACATTTCAATCTGTTTCAGTCTGGATTTTGCATTGTTCCATTGCAACATCTTCATTCTGCATACTGCTATAGGTTTCATTTTTCAATATGGAGGTTAACGCATAGCCAGAAATGCAATAAAATATTTTGAGATGTTCTATGTTCTCAAAATATGGGAAAACTGAACAAAATTATTGAAAAAAATGACTTGCTGTGTTTGGGACCTCAAATTGTCCCGACATGTTCCTGTAGCGCTTCCTAAATCTGTGGGCAGATACAGTTGTTTCTCTTAGATATTTGCTGATGTTTTTCCCAGCTTGCCGTTGTGTCAACACACATTTGTTGGTCATTTTGCTGATCACCACTTAAGTGCATTTTAGTATCATCTGTCTGCTACATCTACTTTTTTCAATTCTACAGAAGCAGTAAGACTGGGCTTAGTTTTTTCCATTGAGCTTATATTCTAAAGTAAAATATTTTATGACTGTAGTTTATGTATTCATACACATAAACCATCCCTCTTGCACGCAGAGCAGCTTATTTCATTCCACCATTTCTTCTCTACTGGTTTCACAGACTTTGTTTTTTTTTCTTCATCATTTATAATTCTGTTAAGTCTCCTTTTTAACTCTGCCTCTCTTTGATCAGTGTTTGCCAGGTGTGTACTTGAAGATTCAATGACATATCAGGCCACAGTGGTGACTTTCCTTCTTTTTTCTTTGCTCAGGACCTTTTTAATGAGGTGCTAAAAGATATGAAAGCCGAGGCTGAAGTTTTCTGGCTACAAGGAGGCAGCCACGGTCTGACTGTGAAAGGAAGGCCTGAGGATTCTGTAATGGATGAAGTGAACTTAAAAGTCCTCCAGTGGATAAAGGACAAAACAACATTGGGGAATTAACATTTGGTGTTTGTTTCAATGTGCTGTTAAATAAAAGATATCACAACTTAAATGTGCATAAATGACTTAATACTGCTTGCTGCATCATGTAATCATGAATTAAGATACATTTCTTTTTCAGTGTAGTTTTCAAAGCAGACTTTTTTCTCTGATATAGTAAGTAAATAATGGTGCACAAGGAGAAGAAAATACATTTTAATGCAAGGTATGTAGTTCAGGCTGTTACCACAGTATATTCTATTTGGCTTAGTTTACTATTATACTATTACAGTAAACTATGCCTGCAGTACTTAATAGGTTATAATTTCCACAAAATAAATTTAAATAATTGAATTAAGCCAGTCCCTTCCCGCTTAAAGACAAAAAAGACTAGAAATCACACGTCCAGTTGAGTGCAGTAAAGATGAAGCAGTGGTAATGAAGCTGTAAGAAAAATTACTTGGAGAAAGTGAGGCAGATAAAAGCAGTAAGAGTGAAATAACACACTAGTTCAATATGTGATTAGGTAGAAAAGATGATCTGTATCTTCATTAAATTATCTATAGAACGGATAAGAATGATCAATTGTGGAGATCAAAACTACATTTTTTAAGTGACTTTTTAAGATATCCATTTAAATGTTTTACTCCTCAACTGTACAAAGTTGCCTATTGGAAAAATACAAAGAATAGACAAAGATGTTATTGTAGATAATAACTGTACATGCGTTAATGAATGAAATTATTTTAAAATAAAATATAAAAACTCATTTTTAGGTATGCATTATTTTTATATGTTGTCTATTAGCAATGAGAATGCAAATTTATATAATTAGTTTTTTAGATTTTGATACGCAGTCTATTTTAGGGCAAGAAAATGCGAGTACAGTAGTCCGTACAGTGGAGAGTTAATATTGTGGCGGCTCCTTTAAGGCCAACTCTGACGTCACCGTTGTTGGAAAAGCTATTGGCTATTCCACTTCCGCACATTTCAAGCAGAGGAACATGGCAGAGGAACAGCTTTGGAACAGGGTAAACATTCCGTATCCCTGTGCAACTTCAGTCGTCCGCATAAAAGTTGCTCCAGAAACAGGTTTGAACGTCCAAACAGAAAATGTCTCAGCTTGTTGTGTGCTCATTCTTAAAGACACATGAAGCGAAATTATACCTAACCCTAACCACGTGCTGTTGCCGGGATATTGACAATCTACCATTTATGTTTTGCAGTTAAACTCTTCAAAGACCTGCTGCTGCAAAACGACGAGGTCCTGAAGCTCCTTCACAGTAAGCTACTGCAGACGGAGATTCGGCTTCTCTACGATCTGATGCACATCCTGAACAACAGCTACAGGGGGAACAAGACCTTCAAGGGCTTACAGCAGGTGAGAACTGCAGGCAGAAACCCCACATTATGCTTCGCTGTGTCACATTTTCTTTTTTCAAGTCTCAGAATGTCGAGCAGCAATAGAAGTTTCAGACTTTCCAATCTTAACCTGAATTTCTACATGAGCTTGTCTATTTCTGTCCTACAGGTTGAACAATGTGTAAACAGACTGAAGACTATGAAGCTTGATGCTGCTCTTCAGGGGCTAATAGAACTATGTCCCAATCAGATTCAAATGTAAGTTTTAACTAATTATTGTTGTAAATATAGCTATCATTAACACACAAGTCAGATGTGTTACAAAACACAATGCAGTTTTTACAATTCTTTGACTGCATTTTTTTCAGCCATGAGAAATGTGGGATTAATGGCTAATCCTCTTATTATAACTCCTTAAATGTGATTTTTTTTTTTTACCAAAATTGTACTGCCCTAACAGAACACTAAGAGAAAATTATAAATGATAGGGAGTATTGAAGATAAAATCTACACTCAGTTAGTTGTCATTTCATTGTGAAGCCAAAATCCCATGATCATTTGTGCTCCCCACTCTCTGGTGTCCGCAAAGCCATTTTGTTTACAATATTGCAGCTGCATGTACAGTCTCTAATTACAGTTTCTTCATGGGTTTTAGGGCATTGTGCAGCAAGAAGGGAGACTGTGACGTTCCAAGTCAACCCATGCTGGAGTGGACCTGTCTGAAAGTGCTGGGAGCTGGCAAGCTGCTGAGCTGCACTCTGTCTCGCTGCAGCAGAGCTTTCATGTATCCTACTTAGCAGTTCACGCTCTTCTGTAGATCAGGTTTTAATGTTATTTTTATTAGACCCAAAAGAGGGTTTGTGATGCATCTTGGAACATCTCTGTCAGAGTTAGCTTGTCTTTAACAGATTAATTTTTCAGATTAGCAAAGCGGCAGATGAAATGGGAGGAGTTTCTCATCCTGAATATAGTGCTAACCAGCATGCTGAGTCGTTTATGGTAAGTAGCTACTTTATTTTTTTTTTCATATTTGCAGCTTTAGTTAGATGCGGGAGATAGAGCAGCACAAAAATAACTTTAATTCTGCTTTTTAGAATGATTTGACTCAGAAGTCAAAGGTTGAAACCATCAGATTTCAGGGATCCTTCCTGTTTCTTTGACCAGAAATTAGAACCAAGTGCGACATTATCAATATATAGCATGATGCCATCACAACAAACATTTTAATTAAAATAAAATAATAAATGGAATTATTTTTCAATCAGTGGATACTCAGACTTGATGTAGTGCAGACTGCTGCAGAAGAGCCTTCCTGCCCATTACCATCTACGTATCTTTACAAGTTTGGTAATATGAAATAAAACATTTCATTCCTCTGGGATTAATTAGGTATTTTGAACTGAGTATAAAACACTTCAATTCAAAGGAAACAAGTTTATAAGTTGTTTTTTTTTTAATAAAACAGTACCAATGTTTTACCCTGGATAGAGTTGAGAAATCCATATTTGGTTTGAATAAAGTGATTTTAAAAGTTATTCTTCCCTTCATGCTCCCCACCAGTCTTTGGCACTGACTGTGTTAATATAACCACATAATTATTACTTCTGCTTGTGTTGGAATTCAACAAACATTGGAACTAAATACTTCTCGTTCAGGAAGCAGACATGTTTTCAGAAATTATATTTTTTCCAAAACTGTATATGATCACTAGACCGAAAATGATATAACAAAAAACATTGTGATGTATTTTTGATGTACTGCCATAGTAAGAAAACTGTTCTCAGTATATTAGTTGGTGACATATTTATGTGTTCTTGCAGTTAGCAGTTAGTTTAAATATTGCAAAGTGTTTTTTTACTAGGGTACTTTCTGCATTGCAGTTTGGTTCCACTTTAACAAGCATTGAACAATAATGTAGCCTGATGTCTGCTGATAACTGTTTACTCAACACACTCGGCCATCTTAAGTCAGTAATCCTTGTACGATTCAGTGAAAACTGATGTATCAGATTCGAGAAGAAGTGTCCCATTTCTTTAGAGGATATTTTAATCACTTATTGCATTAAATGCTAAGGAATTGGGAGATATTTGGGGGTAAGGATAACTCTAAGAAATCTGATTCGGACTAAGTAGCCAGTGGTAAATGTTATAAATGAACTGTAACAACAGTGACTGAAAGCAAACATTACTGGTGATTACTTGTGGAGAAATTTGATGATGGATGTGACAGAAATGGAAGCCATCCAAATACCTCCTGGCGCAGAGTCTCTCCTCTGTGGGGCTGTAAAGTTTATAGCTCGTACACCGCTCCACTGTGCTTGGATCTGTGATTGATTTCTGCAAAGCAGGAGTATATAAAAGCTATTTCTGCCAATTCTGTCAGCCATTTTTATTGGAGCTAATTGATGCTGCAGGAAAAGACTTTTCCTGTGAAACTGCATTCCTGGCTTTAGGCTGCTGTGTATTGTACATAATATACAAAAGAATTTTGTTTGGGTGGCCTTTTGGAAACGCTTTTTCTTTTCATATAAAATGACTGATCTGGTTCTTTTGCTTCATCAGGGTGTTTTTTCGTGGTTTACTGGTCAGCCTTTGCAATCTTTACCAGTGGCTCCTGGAACTCCTGAAAGCTGTAGCCCAAGCCAAACCCATGCCCTTCCTCACCGACACGGTCTTGCCAGCAGATATGGCTGAGTTCCTGGGTCCCTCTGATGCTTTAGTGCTCAAGAAGCACCCGGCGTTTCACGCTTGTCCTAAAACAAAATGCCAAACAACAAAGAAAGCTAAAGTCAAAAACAATAAACAGCAGATGGCCTTTAAAGAAGACCTTGGGAAGGCTGTTGAAAGAAAAACAGGTAAGAAGTCACTTGATTATTCAAGACCAGAGCAAGCAATTTGACAAACCAATTATCTCCATTTATCAGGTGTTTGCAAAATTTCTCTCCTCCTAACCAATTGTTATGCAAAAAATCAATTTGCAGGTGTCGGTTTTGATGTTGACAGCAAGCCTTTTATCTTCAAGGTCAGTATGATAACCAAGATGTTTATTCCTTTAACATGTGCCATATACAGCTGATTTTTTTTCACAGAAAACTTTAACAAAATTGAAAATTGAATTCAAGTGAATTTAGTACATTTATATTTAAAAAAATCCCCTATTTATATATTTGTACACAAAAATTGTGGCAAAAAAAACAAGATGTAAGGACTTTTAATTAGGAATTCATGGCTTCCTGTGGTCAATTTGTCTTAGTTACTTCTTAAAATGGGAAAGACTAGAGAACACCTTTGGTCTGGATACTTCTTACTTCTTGTGTCAGAAATGAGCTTTTTATTTAAACTTCCCAGTCTCCACAGTCAAAGTAATAACAAAAAAATAAATACAAATTGGAACTGTAAACAATGAAGCTGCAGTAGAAACCATGTTTATTTTCTGACAAGACAGTGAGCAGACTGACTTTTTTTGTGCGACTAAATTTATTTCAAGTATTAAATACTATCAAGTATTTATTTGTCCTTATTTACCTTATTGTCTCATTTTGATCTCAAAGGGCAAGACTGTCTCAAAATTGAGCAACAAGGTCAAGAAACAAGAGTTCAAGAAACAAGTGAGTGAGGCTACTACATTTGCACTCCTGGCTGCCAATCTGGAGGAGATAATTCAGTGGTGCGGATCTGAAAGAATGAAGAGGACAAAACGTCTCCTTACATTCCTGCATATAAAGTGCCAACAGATGAAGTGTCTCGAAGCAGAAGGACACAAGTAAGATGAATAAAACATAAAATTGTTCAGCCATGACTTTCAACTTCTGTGACACATTTTGAATGCTAACTGTGCTCATTATCTGCCCTTTTACTCAGTGTTCAGAGGAAGCTTCGGGTTTTCAGACGAAAAGTGTGCCAGGCTGTATCTCCCCAGGGATCAGCAGTGAGGACTTTTCGTTTTACGGCCGTAACGAAGAGGATCACTGGCCGAAGAAGTCATTCTGTTTCACTCTGGAAAAGATTTATGTTATCTAGAGCCAGGACTAGTTTTAAGAGGACAGTACTGCTTGGACAGCAAAAAGACTCTGGGCCAGTGGTGTATTTTAAAGATGTCGGGAAAAGCAAGGCTTCCAACAGGAGAGCATTACAGATTAATAACCCAGATAGCAATGAAGACATAGATGATATATTTGCAACTGCAGGCTTGTAATGCTTCATAAACCAAGACGAGACTAATGAGTTGACAACATTGAGTGAAGGTCAATCATCAGGTCAGTAATCGTTGTGTGAATTGCATTTATGCTAAGTGTTGTATTAGAACAGATACATTTACATTTTACACCTGTTACATCGCTGCACCTCATCACACAGGATACAGATGCATTTCTGTAATTTTGTATGTGAATTCTGTTTTATTCTGAATTTTTGGAACGTAGTAGGTTAATAGATAGTATTCAAATGCCTAGAATATGATGAAAATGCTAAGGAAACAAGAAATCTGCATATACTATGTCTCCGTGTTAAAATGGACCACGTAAAGTACAAACCAAATGCTAAGGAGCTCTGGCCAAGACAAATTCCAGAAGTTCTCAGCTGTACTATTGAGGCTGGTGGTACCAAGTATTGAGTTGAATACAAATACATGTCATACTTTTCAGATTTTTATTTGTAAATAAAAATAAACTGCATAAATATGCCCTACTTTGTGTTATTCTGTTACAATAATCCAAATAAAATACTTTGAGATGTGCAGTTGCATCGTAACAAAAGGTTAAAGTTCAAAAGTCATGAATACGTTTGGAAGGCGCTACCAAACAATGGGTCTTGCGTCTTTTTATTGTTGTCTGTTACAGCTCATAAACTCGTATCTAGACAACTTATATCTCACATTTCCTTTTTACGATCAAACGTCTAGAATGCTCTGTTGTAGCTTTGCAATAAAAACTCTCATTGTAAATTACAGAATCTACTCTATCATTAGCTGCTTTATTAATGCTCTTAATCTAATCTTAAAACTCATGAGATCCTGCAATTCAGATTATGTTAAATGTAATGATACGTTTTCTGGCCGAGAACTCCGTCACCACTGTCGTGCCTCTAACCAATTAATTGGTAGCTCTTTTAAACCTGTAATTTTAACAGTTTTTAGATCTTTATAAAAATAAAAAACAAGGCTATTGTCTTAATGTGTTAACCTTTATCCAAAGATCAAGGTACAACCATAAAGTTAGGATTTTATTGCTGCACTGAGTTTTGAGTGCATATTAAGCTAAAACACGACACTGCTTTATTGTCTTCTCCAAAAATACAGGTTTTGTTTCACTTTCTGGAAGCTGGTTCTGTTTTCTGTCCTAAAATGTAAAAAGAAAAATGCAATGTATGCCAAGTTTAGAATTTTTTACATTTTATTTATTTTATAAGATTAGAAGGATTAAAATGTCTATGATGAAATATTTGCATAAGAGCATCATAGTGCTAAAATGTTTATAAGATTAAAAAAGTATCTGATGTAAGCCTTGCCATTACAGGCTATTTGGTCTGGATTCAGTATGGACCAAGTATTACACATGCTCTCAGATTCAAAAATTTGATTCATGGGTCTAAGCAGGCCCTGCGACAGACTGGTGACCTGTCCAGGGTGTACCCCACCTCTCGCCCGGAACGTTGGGCACCAGCAACCCTCCCACCCCACTAAGGGACAAGAGTGTAGAGCAAATGGAGGGTGGATGGATGGATGGGTCTAAGCAGAACTTAGAAGTAAGTGTTTGCAGGTATTGTTGGTCTCTGTTTATCTCTTGACCGTGTGAAGAACTGGCTATCTTTGAAAGGTCACTTCTACTGGTGTTGCATTGTATGTCTTTAGTTTCATACAATATTGCAGTGATTTTGGACATTTTACTTTTTACCCTTTTTACATAGTACAATTTTGAATCAATTATCCATCCTTAGTTCCTTCCTTAGTTGTTTTTCCAAGGTGAAATTGAAAAAAAAAAACAAACAAAAAAAACCTTCAGAACAAGATTTAAAAACCACAAGATCTGTTTCTTGGTTGTTTTGCATTTGTGTTGTATTTTTTTTATTTTTTATTTTCGATTAAGTGGTTTAAGAAGTTGGTTGGACGATGTTTCTCACAGTCCCACACAGTTCTAACAATTTTGCTTGCATGTTTTTTTATAAGATACAAAAACCACAAACCGGGTTCTTTAACTGGAGCAAGGGCAGATGCGTCACTTCCTGTCATCTGTTGTTTTTTACTTCCGTAAGGTGGGGCTTTTGTTACGGGAGCGGTTTGTATTTGGAGAACCAATGCGTCGGTCTGCGCTGGAAAAGCAGTCAGCTAGATAGCATCAACCAAGGGCAGTCATTGGAACTACGCTTCGGTAAGGCGTCCGAATCTTCTTATTTCGGTAAAGTAGTTGTACTATTATGTGCTTATTAGCATGGCTCTTGAAATAACGTTACCAGACGTTTTTAAGGACAAAGCGAGTGACTGCTGGAGGCAAAGTGCTCAGCGTTTAAGGGAATATGGGTGTTTAAAAACTGGTAGTTACCAGATTAATGTGATGAAATCGTCACGTTGTGGTGGTTGTCAAACTTTTTTTCTAAATAGAAAACCCGATTAATAGTAGAATAATACCAGCACCATTGATTGAGTTCACGCTAGCATAACTGATTTGGACATTTTCCCTCGATCTGTTAGCACTTAATTTTCTTTTTCTGACTTGTAAAAAATACTCCGAATGAACGTTTATGTTTACTTCATTACGCTGCGGTTTGGAACTACTGTTTATTTTTCTTTAACAATAACGGTATTCGCAACTGTTAAAGCACGAGTTGGGTGAACTACTCTTTTTAATATTAACAAACTTGTGAGTTCCTCATAGTATAAGTACGTCAATAATATCTCCCATCATTAAATGTCTGAATAAGCAGCACCTTGGTCATAATTGTTACTGCTGTAAAGTTTTGCCACTATGAAGACACACCCAAACTAGCTCATGTGTTCTTCTGCTGATGTTGTAAATCTGTTGGTATCTTCAGACTAGGCAACCTGATCTTTAGGTCTTACGTTCGTCTTTTCCTCTCTTAAAGGACGCAGAGTCATACAGATCCAAAGCCAGTTCGGTCAGTTGCTAGATGATAGTTTACATATAAACAGTGTAATGTCGAGATGCGGGTTGGTTTTTCCTTCTCTGTTTTTGAGTAAGAAAGAGGGGTGTATAGGACGGTGTTAGCAAAGCACCACGCTTCCATCTCGATATTAATGACAGGTCCATTTAGGTAGCAGGGGAAGTGAAATGTGTGTTTCCTTTTCCAGATAACTGGCTGCATAAACTTGTTGTTTTAGGATCTGCTTTGGAATGAAACATGCAGTCATCCCCCCATAAACAACTCGTGAACAGAATGCTGAGCCCAGCACATTTGCAGCATTTTCAGGGAAACCAGCTTAAGAATTGGTTGGCAGTTTTGTAGGGTTTTGGCCTGGCTTTTAAGAAGCTAATGCAGACTGTTGGGTATTTTTTCTTCTCACAGCAAATAGCATTTGTGGGTTTTACTCATTCCCAACCCCCCTGCGATTAGATTCAAATGTTACTTCTAACACAGTGCTTACTCAGCAATGAAACACAATGGATATATCAGATTACTAACTTTTTTTGATTCTACAAAGGTGCCTATGTTTTAGTCTAGGACTTTTTTGCTGTTACTTAAAAGCATTGCGTAGGCATTTCAGAGTATACATTAACACACACGTCCACACGAGCCTTTTAGTTAAAAATGGCCAAATAGTTCTAAACGATTTCTGTTTAAGCCACAATGTTCTCTTAACTCAGCATGGGTTTTGGTTTGGTAGACATCTGCCTACTGTCTTTGTTTTACTCTGTAGCTTGTTAGAGCATGATAGACATTTTTTCCCCCTTCACGTCTCTTTAGTCGGTCAGGATGGCTCATGTCCAGACCTCACCATCTTTATGTTTCTGAGGTGGGTAGTAAATAATGACATTTACTTAAGTAACGTTTTTTGGGAGGAAAACAAATGTTTTCGTAGTAATTTTACTACACTGTACTTTATTATACTTTTACTTGAGTAGAATGAAGTATCGCTTCAGTAAAATTTCTGGCTACCCTATTCAGTGCGAGTCATTTCAGAGAGTGAAGACCGGACATATTTTAACCAAAAATACATGAGGCACACCTACAGTTTATATTAAAGTGGAACCTCTTGTTTGTCCACAAATATCATGCAGCTTTGCTGTTTTCATGTTATTTTCCATCTGCCTGCTGTGCCATTTGTAGGTCAAAAAGATACAACAAACACTATCACTGAAAGTACTGTTGAGTTGAGCAGCAGTGTGTCACTTGTTGCCACCACAGTGTGTGCAATAAAGACATTTACAAGCAGATCACACTTGCATCACAACTGTCAAACGAATAGTTCAGATTTTTAAACAAAGTTCTAATAAGCACACAATAGCTTAACATGAGTAGATGGCTCTTTTTGTGTCTCTTTTCCTGTAGCCTGAAGCTATTTTCAAAAACATCTCCCACCTCAAACTTGTCATAGTAATTCCTGACACAATTTTATTCTTTTTCATACACCTGGCATACAGTTAACAAATACCACATTCCATACAGTCACTTTTGTAGTTCAAACACTACATTGCTGTGATTTTGTATACGATATATAATTTTATCTTTTTTTTTTGTGCATTGTTATTCTGCTAATATTCTATGCAGAAATTCAATAAAAACGCACAGAAAAATGACTAATTACCTTTGCATTTAATGTGATTGAGTGAGTGACTAAATGAGACTTGAATTATGTTGATTCTGACACTCGGCTGATGCATTGTTAGCTTTAGCTTCAGCTCATTTTTGATGATGAAAGCAGATGAGGATGTAAGGAACTAGCAATACACAGCGGAGCATCCTGTTTCCCCCAAGGAAGAGGAACAAGTTATGCAAATGTACATTTGTAAAAACGTTCAGCCTTTTTTTTAAAATTATTTTTATAATATTCATATTCGTAAATTCTATCCAACTCGGTGCTGGCAGCTGCTGCCGGTGGGCATGTTTGCCAAGCTGCGACAGACGCTACCTGTGGCAATTGTTTGCCTTTTAAAATGCAGCTTTGTTTCAGCGTGATGGAAACTTCTGTTAGTGTCAGAAATTTTAGATCTACTTTCACTGAATTTATGCTATTTTTTTTCTTCCATGGTTCATATGCAACTTGTGATTCTTTTTCTTAAATTTTAAATAATATTTTCTCGTAATTGCATTCGTTGCATCCTAATCAGCAGCAGGAGAGTTTCCAGTTAGAGCTCTCATTAATGTAGGGACACCTGGAGTCTCTCAGATCACAACCCCCTCTTTCCTCAGTCTCTCACTCTCTGAATACGCTATAATCAAGGCCTTCGTTTCACTGACCAACACTGAGTGGGTTGTCTCTACTCACAAACCTGATGGTGTGTGCATTTATGTAAATGCTCAAGCCAAATAAAGATATATGAATTTACACAACAATCTGATGCCCTGGCTAATCAGTGTAAATCACTCTTTTTATTGTTTTAGTAAAATTCAGAGCACTTTTAATGACTTGTAATCCTCTAATTGAATTTAAAAACATTTGAATTGAAATGCTTTTGTTTGGGGAATCTGAAAGCAGACAGTACACAGTGATTATTGTCGACCTCACCCATTGTCAAATTTCTACCTTAAATTTCAAACATCTATATCTGTATAAAAGTGGCAAAATGAAGGGTGGAGAAAGCATTAAACAGCATGAAATTAAGCCTGTTAACTTGAAACAATGTTATTTTTAAACTAGAATGATGAATTACCCTATACTGGTTGCCATCGTGATCATTCTCTGTTTCTATTTTTTTCAATTTAAAGTGGAAAAATTATTCCAGTTTTGCTGAATTAACCTTTCAATAAAAATTTGTATTTGTCTTCTTTTCAAATAACGTAAAGCAATGCTTTAATAATATGTAATTCTTTTTTTTATTGCATATATAGGCATTGTTCTTTATGTGACAATAAATTTCTACTAGTACTGCTAGAATTTACCTTTTAAAAAATTTCTAGACGCGTAGTGATCTGACCTAAATTCAGAATCCAGGTATTAATGTGGGGAATTTAATTTAATTTTGTACATTTAAATTTTGTACATTTAGTCAGATCCAAATTTATTAAGGTGCTATGCAGAGCCACAAACTTTGACTTCTCATAAAATAACTGGACTTTACACAGAAAGATCCATAAAAAAATAAAATGGAATATTTTTTTTATCTGTAAAATACAAAATCATACATGGAGCATGTATAAAATATTAAGGATTATTAATTCTGATCAACCCTCTAATGCTCACCTGCATTACTGAATAACCTGTCCTGTTGTTTTTAGCACAACATGGTAGGTTGTTCAGAAAACAACCCAATAAAATTGACCTTGAAGGGGAATACATGGGCACCTACTGTAAGTGAGTTAAACACACTTTGAGTCAATAAATCATTTTTCCTTTTTTCTGCTTCTATTCTGGGACAAGGACACAAAAAGAATTACTTTGTGAAACTATAGGTGTCATCCCTACGCATAGGTGGTGGTATGTAACTTAACCTTTAAGGAGATGGTAAATGGGCAGCTGGCTGCTGGTCAGCAGTAATGAAATGATTTTTGAACAAACAGTGGTTAAAAAAAATCAACATACCCCTGTTAAAATGCCTTTACTTTGCTGCATAGTAATGAGAAAATGCTGATTAATTTCAGAGCTTCCCATCTCTGTGGGCCACAACATATACACATACCAATTACCAATGGAAAACGAAACAAAAAAAACAACTTAAATAACAAAGTGAAGTGGGTGTCTTCAGAAGTGACCACCAAATTCAAGATCATCTTAAATACGGGACAGTACTCTAGCAATAACCTTAAAGTTTTCTGACTGAGAAAAAAAAACATCCAAATGAAGCTCAGCTATTCCAAGAAGCTTTTCTTGACTTTTTGTTAGTTGCATGTCGCTGCAAATATCGTACTCCTCAAAAAGCTCCCAAAGCATCACTTGCAAATAAAATAGTTCAATTAATTTTTTAAATAAGAAAATAAACACCAAAACTATGCCAATTAAGGAGTTCGAGTTAGAACATATTTATAGACAAATATTGCATCTGAAATGCAATATTGTTTGCACAGTTTTGGCTTAATTACTACTCTGAGGGTGGAGTTTGTTCTGCAGATGATCTCTAATAGAGTCTGTTAACTCCATTTAATGATTAATCGACTACCAAATTAGTTGACAAATATTTCAGTAATTGATTAATCACGATTAATCCAATTGTTTCAACCCTAGAAAAGACTTAATTTGTTTTATTGGGAACAGTTTAGACAGTACCTCATTTTTACCTTGAAGATATTTTCATATTAAATAAAACAGGAAGTGTTTTAAATAGAGATTGGTTTGAAAAAGAAAAGCAGCCCACTTAGTGTTGCTGCAGTGGGGAGGATTCTGACACAGGGAGGATTTAAGGTCTCAGTTGCCCAGTTTTGTCAAAGGCTTCTCTGTACACTCCCACAGGCAAATACTTGTTAGTATGCATTGTAGGACGAAAATGGGCTCCTATCTGCTGTAGCTGTCTTTTTAAGTATAGTAAATCATTTCCTGATCTCCACAGGCGGTGACTGTTATAACTGCTACATATGAAGAACCAAACAGACTTCTGCAAAGCCACCTGCAGGGCTTCACTTAAATTCTGCACTGTTTGTTGCACTGTGATAAAGGAGTCGTAGTCTTGAAACCTGGTCTGGGGTCGTGGAACGTCTTACCCATTCTTACTCTCCCCTCATTACTGTGACTCTGTCAGGTTATTGTTTTGGCACAGCAAGATGAGAGAACCAGGTTTATCCTTCAGCTCCTGGAGTTAATTTTGAGACTTGTAGCAAATAAAGACAAAATACTAAAAAGATGATTTACCGTTTGGTTTATAGATGTAATAAGAGTAATGCATACATGAAGGAGAGCAAAGAGGTTCTCTGGAAAAATATGTATATATATATATATATATATATATATATATATATATATATATATATATATATATATAAAATTGAGATTTCAACATAAACTTTTTGCTCCAATTAGTAATTAAATGTTTCTGCTCACTTGGTAAGTTGTCAGTGTTGAGATTAATTTAGTTTTCCATGTTTGAGGGTGAGGTGAGCAGGTGATCTGATCACAAACCTCAGTTTGAAGGTTCAGTAGAAGGACAGAAGAAATCAAATGAGGTTCAGATGTCTATTTAATACATCAATGCATACATGGCACAGACACAATAACCATGAATGTGACTTAATTTGTTGAGATTCAAGGCTAAGGTAGATACCAGAACTAAACTAAGACTGTTTTGTGACTACATAGTTTGTAGCAATAATCCTGTAAAAGGTGATTTTGTAAGAAATAAGTCTTCTTCTACCCTATTTGTAGTGTTGTACATAATTGACTTAACCATAATATTTGTTGTAAGTTGTTTGATGCAACTCTCATCAATCTTGAAAGGTAATAATGCAACACCTGTGTGAGAGAGACCAAGCTACTGTTCATAAATGACACAGTTAAAGTCAAGATGGTGGATATTCTTTGACCATACCAATGTACAGGTAGAAATGCTTATGAGCAATGAATGCTGTCCAAATTGTTTTCAAAGTTAGGTGATTATTTTCACTTTATACTAGAGGTGCACCAATAATTCGGCCATGATTTTCTGAATATTGGGAGATTTTGATCAGCTTATACTTAAATTTGAAGCTGATTTTATCCACAGAAAATCAGCCACTGTCCTCTGTTACTCTGCATTGAGGGATGTTTGACTGACCCGCCCAAAAGATAATGTTTGCACATTCACAGTAAACAATAGTGGCCCCACTGGTGCCAACTCAGCACCTTTCTTGCTATTTTTTAGCAGCATTTCAGACAAAACAATTAAAATCAGCAGGTCAGACTTTTTGAAGATCTGCGATCAGCCAGAAAACTGCAATCGGTGCACCCGTACTTCGTACTTAAATGACCAAAGGTTGCATCAAGAAACACTTGGTTAAGTGGTGGGCAAGTACATTTTTCTGTTAGTGAAAAATCTGCTTAGTTGCAGGCATTTCTATGCTGAATCCTGGAAAAGGTAGTTTTAGTTTCACCCATGTCTTAAAATAAACACCAGTTGAAGATTGGGTGGTTCTCGGAAGGGCTTGCTAATAAATGTCTGCTGTCCACATTGCAATGGTGTCATCTATTTTTCAGAAGCCTAGCAACCAAAGTGGTTTGTTACACTTCACCCCTCCCTTTTCACAAACCCTGATCCTCTTTAAAGGGCTTGCACCAAACATGTGAGACTTGCCAGAATACTGGCTTATCTTGACTTTGAGCATTTCTGAGAGCGTGTTGCTGTAATGTTGGAGGTTTTGGTTAAATTAGTTGATTGAGTTCAGTTTAATGTTAATTCCTTCCTAGTTTTTCCTTCTGTGCTTGTGCACAGGGAAGTGGGTTACATGTGAATAATTAAAATGGTGACCCGTATACATAAATGCTGAATTCTGCAAGTTCCACAAGAAGGTGTGTAAATGTGTTTATGTGGGCATTCTTCATATCAACTATTCCACTGACCTGGTTTGGGATAACAAAGACAGGAAGAGCAAAGGTCAGGCTTCATTCCCTGATTAGGGAAAGTGGAACCATGATGCCACATCCTCAAATGCTGTTATCTGTTAAAAATGGCCAAACTTCTCACATTATGTGGCCCATTCAGAGATATTTTTTTTAGGTTTTATTTGATTTTTAGGGCTTGTTTCCTTCTGTTTGCAATGACAAGTTTAAGTGGAAATTCTAAGGTATTTTCAAAAGACTTTCTCCTCTTAGTCTTGTCTCCTGAAGAGAGTGTTGCTGGTTTCAAGCAGAAATGTTTACTGTTAGGGAGGAGCAGATTATGAATACTGCTATGAATCAGCTCAGTGCTTCCATTAGCATGACATCCCGAGAGGAGGGAAGGATCTCTCTCTACAGAGACGGACAGAGAGAAAATGTTAAAGATAAGGTACTAAACATATTGGGAGGGGCTAGAAGACTCTAACATTATTAACTTACAGAAGTGTTTGTGTCAAAGTTGCTTTTTTAGAGCGATTTTTATGCTCTGGTATTTCGTTTTGGACTTGTGCTTTTGGCTATACATTGTTGCTGGATGGCTCAGTTGGTATTCTATGTACTGATATAGATGACAGAAGTGGCATCAATCCAGAGCAAGGTAAACACATGATGGTGTTAAGTCTTTGTATTAGATCAGCTCACACAACAGATTGAATAATGCTTTTTATCAGAGCACAGTGGACCCAGGAGGACTTTATTTTGCTGAGTGTTCTCTATTAGGTTTGCAAGATACATGTTAATATAAAAGTGGTCACCTGGAGACCAAACACTGGTACATTCTTGCTAAGTTAATAAAATAGATTAGCTGCATTTACTGGTTAAAGATGCTACTAATATTACTCTGAGTTCTTCCTCCTCATATTTTTATTCTGCCAACAGATTAGTGGCTTTCTTTTTTCAAAATATACAACACTTGTACAGATTGGACCGGTAACTGGATAATTTTAAACTGGACACGTATAAATTAAGCAATAGAACAATTCGGAATAGAGGTAAATTTGATTGGCCGTGAAATTCAAACAAAGAGTCCTTTTCGTGAACACACTTGGTCATACCTACGCTTCACCAGGCCACGCTAACACCAACAGTTTTCAGGGTGGTAGGTTACTGAGTGAAAAAAGATTCAAGGTTAGCTATTTCTAAAATGATGCAAGGTGTTTTTAAAAATGAAGTTAAAGGAAGCTATAAATAGAAACGGTACTTTCTACGTCACAAGACGTTTTCATTGAGGCTGCGAGACAGAGCAAGACTTTTAATAGATAACGGAAAGACTAGAGACTTCTTTTGTTATTATGACCACAATAGAATAAAAGAAGCATAAAAAAACAACATGCAGCAAAAGCTGAACTGGGATATTATAATGTATTCTTTAAAAGCTTGTAGTCTGTAAAATGTTTACACTGCAAAAACAACAAAAAATTAAAATACTTGAGATAAATTCAGTATATTGTTGTGAGGTGGATTTTTCTATCCATCTGTTTATATCTTCAACCTAAATGAAAGAAAATTGCCGCATCAACTAAAGTAAGATAAATATTTTTGTTGGCTTTTTAAGGCTGTCAAAACAGAAACCGCACTTGGCAAACAAACTCAGCAGGAAATGAAGGTTAAAGCACACATGAAATGATTGGACTTCTAATTGCTAAAGGAACAATGTGAAGAGTGTGTTTTATCCAGCTGTAATGTGACAGTAATGCAGACATAATCACAGTTTTAAATAACTGCAGAAATATGAAAAGTAGAAGCTTGGTTTCCAGCTCTCAGCGCATTCAAACCTTGAGATACTTTCCATTTTAATTGAAGCTCAGATGAGACATTTAAGGCATCTGCGTTGGAGTCTGTTAGCACTCTGTTTAAAAGTTATATCTGACAGGAATGGGAGATACAGAAGCAGGCAAAAAGCAATTGACTCTGAGCTTTCACCTACTCAGGGCAGGGCCCTTATAAAGCAGATAGATGGCCAGTCAGTTCTTCTTCTTTTTTTTTTTTTTTTTTTTCGTTTTTAATGGCTCTAGCACATGATGCTCTGTTTTAATGCTTTCGTAAATTCAGCCTTGCCGTGGAGAATGATGGCTTCATTACTCCTGATCAGTTGCAATGACCTTTTGATGGGCAACCTTATAAAGTTCTCGGATTCATGAGTAGGCAATTTGGCACTTTAAAGGGTGCGGTGGGTGTTAAGATTCAAGATTTGTTGGAACTCAGCCTAGAGCCTTGGCACAGAGCGCTGCTATCTGTTAAGTAACAACTGCCATCTGCCCATCCGCTTCTCCCATGTTCCCTCCTTATTGATGTTATCCACTGTACACACTGCTAAGTTTCCTCTCTTGTCATTCACAGGTCGCTGTCGTGGGCGAGTGTGTGCATGTGTGTGTGACTGCGTGCGCGAGTGTGCACATGTGTTTGAGTGTGTGAGAAGGACTCGGAGAAAAATCCAGTGATGGCTGCCAATAAAGGTAAAAACCAGAGTTCTCTGGCACTGCACAAGGTGATAATGGTGGGAAGTGGAGGTGTGGGGAAGTCCGCCCTCACGCTGCAATTCATGTATGATGAGGTGAGTTGATACTACACACACCTGGTCTACACGCAAACTCCTATCTGATCAGCAGTGGTGGGAAGTAACGAAGTA